TTTGACTTCATAATGGCTGCCAATCTTACTGGAGTGAGATGGTATCTTAGGGTGGTTTTGATTTGCATTTCTCTGATTGCTAATGATGGTGAGCATTTTTTCATGTACTTGTTGATTGATTGCATGTCCTCCTCTGAGAAATGTCTGTTCAGGTCCTTGGCCCATTTGTTGATTGGATTATTTGTTATTTAATTTTTTGAGTTCTTTGTACATTCTGGAAATTAGGGCTCTATCTGATGTGTGGGGGGTAAAAATTTGTTCCCAGAATGTATAAAGTCTTTTTTCTATCTCAAATTTGAGAAGCTGATGTTTGAGTGAGGTAGTCAATGTTTGTTTATTGAAGCGAGGAACTGCATTAATCTGCCTATCAATAAAACTAAGACGTGAAACAAATCACTTAGCTCTGAGCCTCAATTTTCCATGTCCAGAAAATGAGAATTTTAAAGACTGAATAATAGATATAAAAACAGTAAAATATCATATATTACTTTTTTTTCTAAATGACAAATAAAAGAATGACCTTTTAATCAGGAATAGATACCAAATCATTACTCCCAATGCAATTGTTATTGGAACTACTAATTTTTCTTTCTCCTGCTTTTATGTCTGACACACAAAGGCACATATCATTTTACCATTTCCATGTGGCACTCATCCAAAAAGAATGCTGATGCGGTGATAATAATATGTGTGTTTTTTAAAAATTGCTCCACCTTTACAACTGCTTCTGCTTATCCCTTCAGTTAAATAGAATTCTGAGTAGTTACTGAATCTTCTTCTTATCATTTGAATTTAGAATTGATGTTCAGTTTTAATAACATCTGTTTTCTGCCTGCTAGTCTGTAAAATCTAGGACATAAGGTATGCCTGGTTTTGTTCATTGTTTTATCCCCTGTTCCTAATACATGGTCTGTAATTCAATAAATATTTGTTGGCTAGGAAGATATCTAGAAAGGAATCACATTTGCTGTACACTAGCAGAAAAGTAGTGCCTGAAGTTGCAGCTGTGCTTTTTAAGTACCTATTAAGTGGCTTAGGATAAATAAGAGACACAACATAGGGTGATGGAGAGAACATGAGCTTTGAAGTCAAAAGAACCTAAATCTGGAGGCTGGGGGTGTGGCTCAGTGGTTGAGCACTTGCCTAGCACATTTGAGGCACTGGGTCCATCCTCAGCACTACATTAAAAAAAAAAGTATTGTGGCCATCTACAACTAAAAATAATCTTTAAAAAAAACAAGTCTGAATCTTAAATCTGTCATTGGCTCTCTGACCACAGACAAACCCCTCTCCTTTCCTAGGTGTGGTTTTTTAATCTAAAAATGTAAATAACTCTGCCTTGATTTGGTAGTAATATAAACAGTCTAGGATAGTATCTTGTGTTATACTAACAGGCAGTTATTTTCTTAATACATAATAATATTAAATAAATTGTATATGGGCAAATTTCTCCCCAAAAGCAAAGACCTTATTAAAAAAAATTCATAATCAGTATATTAAAAAGGACAATACTTTGTCTAGGCTAAAAATGGAAATTCGTTGACACAGGAAACCAAGTTATTTCAAAAATGATACATATTTCCTAGGGCTTGTGTTGCTACCAGTAAATACTCAGGATTTTAATTCAAATTCATTGATTTGATGATAAAATGTGATACAATTATGTGCCAAAGCACTAGGTGCTGAAGATACAGTAATGAAAAACACAGTTAAGACTTAAATTCTGGTTCATAGACAAACAGCAAACAATAATTAGATTAGAGCTGAAAACTGTGTAGGAAATAAACCATGGATATGTAGGAGAGTGGGAATATGGAAAGCTACTTTAAATAGGAATATCGGTATAAAAATTTTCCATAGCTCTGAGAAATTTCTGAAGACTACAGAGAGTTGGGCAGTTTCTGTTCTCTGGTAATTAAGAGTTGAGACAATGATCTCAAAAGCATTTGATATGTATCATTACAATTTTAGACGAGCTCTTAACAAAACATTTTTAATTGTAACCAATGTGATTTTGCAATCTGTATTTAGGGTAAAAATGGGAGTTCATAACCCACTTGAATCTAATGTATGAAATATGATATGTCAAAAGCTTTGTAATGTTTTGAACAACCAATAAAAAAAGAAAAAAAACATTTTTAATTACTAAAAGAAAAACATTGAACGTTTGCTATGTACAGAATAATAACATAGACTTAGATAAAAGAAAGGCATGGAGGAGTCCAATTAACTTGTGTGAGGTTACAAAACTCCTAAATAGAAGAGTTAGAACTATATTTAAATATGTGGGGAAAATGGTTTGGAAGCCAAAGTATGATACCTCTATCTGCTATTAAAAGGAGGGAAAAAATTATCTTCTCTTTTCAGATTTCTTGACCACCACAACCAAAGAAGGATATGACAGAAGGCCAGTGGACATAACTCCTTTAGAACAAAGGAAATTAACTTTTGATACCCATGCATTGGTTCAGGACTTGGAAACTCACGGTAAGATACAGGAATCTCTTGAAGGAAGAAACTTAATAGCATTTATGAGTCATCTAGGTAAGACTATTGCTATTATGAGGAATTAAGAATAACTATTTAAGTAGTTACAACATTTCATACAATAGAATATTTTACAGTCATTAAAAATGGTATTGCTTGAAGAATATTTACTGATATGGGAAATACTAAAGATATATTAAATGAAAAAGGACTGTATAAAAATTTGGTGCAAAATTATTCCAATTAAAGTGAAAAAGAAAAAAACTAGAGGCTGATAATACAATCTGAATGGAAATACAAATGTTCAAGGATCACAAAAAGTCAAACAAGCACAAAAATTACCAAATATAAAAGTGGCAAGTTAACATGTGATATCACAGGAATAGAGAAATTAATTAATAGAACAAAATAGTATTCAAAGTCACATGGATATGAATGTAGCACATGATAAGGCATTTCACATGAGGGAAAGGAAGTGCCTCAGACATACTAGGCAAGTGCTCCGCCACTGAGCTGCAGCCCCAGCCCTGGTTATATTTTTTTGTGTGCTGCTTATATATTTATATTTTGCCCATTTTCCTCTAATTGCTTTTACTTGTTCTTATTGATTCCTAGGAATTCTTATGTTCAGCTTTTAATCTATCTGGAATTTCACTAAGGAAATCTAATATATTTCATCCAATGGCTAGTCATTTATTATATCTTATTAAATAGAACAGTTGTGTCCATATACAACTACAAAAAAATAATTTTTAAAAAAATAACCAAAAATATATTAAAGGTGCTTAATCTCATTACTAACCAAGGACATACAGAATTAAGTACAAACTAAAATAATGCAATACCATTTTTATGCCAATTATATGCTCAAAAACAAAGACCAATAATATTCTAAAGTTGCTAAGGATGTGGGAAGCATTTAGAATAGTAAAATTATAAAGTACTTTTAGAGAGTAATTTAGCATTATCAAGTTTTTAATTATAACCATGTTTTTAAAAAAAATAAAACAATCTTAAATATTGAGGGAAGTTATTCTGGTGATCTGTTCTGATAAAGATGTGTACATTTAAAAAGACATACTTATTTGCTGCCTACAGGTTTTGACAAAGCACAAGCAGAAACAATTGTATCAGTATTAACCACTTTATCAAATGTCAGCCTGGATACTATCTATAAAGAGATGGTCACTCAAGCTCAACAGGTACTATATTCATTTTTATCACTGACAGTTTCATAGATGATTTTTTTCAAGGAACGAAGGAAGGAAGAAAGGGAAGAGAAAGAATTGAAGGGAAGGGAAGAAAGATCTTTAGTAAAATCAGTATCTAGGACAGACTGAAAAGTTAGAATAGTCCTAACAAGATTATGGCATAATACAAAGAAGGAATTTTGTCATATCTTCCACTGTGTGAGGTAATTATTTGAATCATGAGATGGTAGCAGATTGTTATTGAAAGTTTTTCCCCTGGAAAGCCTATCACAGAAGAGCTAACCTTTTAGCTCTGATACATTTTACTCGTGTCTTATATATATATTGTAGTTCAGAGACGAAAGCTAGAAAGGATTAAACTAACATGGCTGGGAAAGACTTCATAAATTGCTTGGCTAAGAAGTCTGGATATACAAATTCTTAAAGTCAGCTATTTACGAAAAACTTAAGTTGTAAGGAGCACAGTAAAACTGTTTTAAGAATCTGTTTTCTGCTAGGTGTGATGACACATGCCTGTAACCCTAGCAGTTCAGGAGGTTTAGGCAGGAGGATCACAAGTTCAGAGCCAGCCTCAGCAATAAAGTGAAGCAACTTAGTGAGACCCTGTCTCAAAGTGAAAAAAAAAAAAAAAAATTTTTTTTTTTTTAAAGGGCTGAGGATGTGGCTCAGTGGCCAAATAATATCCCAGGGATTAATCTCTACTACCAAAAAAAAAAAAAATCCATTTTCTTCTGATACTTATATTTTTTAATTTTAGTTTTTCAAATTTAGACTTCTTCCCTCAGATAAATATTTCAAAACATACACACACAAGTCAGAAGGAGCTACTGACATTTTAAATAAAAAGTAATTTACTCTTAAGTTCTTAAACTTGCCTATAATATAAGCAGGGAATTAAAACTAATTTGAAGAATCATCATGCTTCCAAGACCATTTAATATTACATATAAAATATAGGATTATGTATAGGAATATTACTATTAAACTTTGGCTTTTTTCAAATTTCTAGTGTGTGAAGTTAAAATCCCATTCCATTCTTGAACATCATTGTTGACCTTTAGCATATAATAAGGCACAAAGATGATGTCATGAAGCATAGAGCTAAGTTCAAGCAAACAAGCTAACTACTTGATTACTTCAGATCACTAACTCTGTTCAACCTCTGATGACTTCACAAAAGTTATAAAGATCATACTTCTAATAAGTTTGACCACTTAATAATGAATAATATCTTTCCATTTAAATGGCGGGGGTTCTTTTTTTGTTGTTTTTTTTGGTACTGGGGATGGGACTCAGGGGTGCTTAACCACTGAGCGACATCCCCAGCCCTTTATACTTTTTGAGACAGGATGTCATTAAGTTGCTTAGGGTCTAACTAGGTTACTGAGGCTAGCTTTGAACTCGCAATCCTCCTGCCTCAGCCTCCTGAGCCACTGGGATTACACACGTGCACCACCATACCTGGTCTATTTAAAGTTCTGGAAGATAGACACTGTGCTGTATGAGTCACAGCTGTATGTAAAGAAAGAACGAAGTAAAAAGCAGCTACTGTACAATCCCTTATTCTCAGGCTCAAACTCTATAAGAAATCTGTAATTACATTTCTTCCATATGTATTTGCAATAATAAAAATGCATTATATTTAATGTCATAGAACTCCTTTATAATGGTATTGGGGAAACAGGTGTGAAAGCCCCTAGAGGACACATCTGTAATGACCTCTCAGGTAATTTTCATAAATACTTCAAGCAGAAATGAGTAAAAGAAAATGAACCCCATTCCCAATAATATATGAGGGTTAGGGAAGGCATAGGAATCAGATATTTGTTGAACACAGTTGAAAACATTTATATTGTGTAGGATTCATATTTAAGTCAACATCCTCAACATAAAAATACTGAAGTCAGAGTATTCTACTTCAGCCATTAGAGCACTATGCCATTAATAATATATAGCTAACAATTACTGGATACTCACCGTAGGCCAAGAACTATTTAAAGTATTTTATATACAATATTTACTTAATCTTAAAAATAAAAAACTCTGTAAGGTGTGAGTATTGTTATTTCCATTTACCAATGAGGAGATGAAAGAAGTTCAATAAGTTGCCCAGAATCTCAAAGAAAATGACAGAATTTGAGTTCAAACTCAGAGAGCCTAACTCCACAATTCTCACTTTTAAACTCTGCTTTATGAGAGTGTCTCATCTGAAAGTTGTTTTTGGAGATATGTGCATTCCAGACCCTTTGAACACTGAGCTATACCTGAAAATGTTACAGCCTCTGCTATCTAAAAGTCGTCAGCTTTCAAATGGTCTTTCTATCTCATGCCAATCAAAAAATGACTGCAACCCCAACAAAGTACCCCAATCACAAATTGTAACTTTAAAAATGGGATTAATGATCCTGTTCTTGTTTGGGCTTTTTTGTTTTATTTATAAATCCATTACACAGGGTTCTTCAAAAGGTTATATACAATTATCTGATTTAACTTTTAATAAAGATCAATAAATTATATCAGTAAGCTACCTCATTTTAAGATTAGTGGTAACCATTATGGTTTTTTGTAAAGCTGCCTTAAATCATTACTACAAAAATTTCCCTCCTTAACAAGGCAAAAGCTTATAAGTATATTGGATAGGAGCCACCTTTTCTTTTGTATATTCTTGGTAGTGCCAAATATAGGAAAGATGAGAGAATTTAAACAAAATTAATGTTGTGCCGATAAAGAATAATTATTTTAAACAAATATCTATGTATTTTGTTATAGTCCCTGACATTGAATTTTATTCAATACCTTTTACCATTTTCCAATGGTAAAAAAATCCCACAAATAAAAAGTAACAAAAGGTAATAAAACCCTTTCTATCTATGTGTTCAAAAAACAAAATAAATCATTTGGTGAGGAACTTCTAGAGGCTAAGTAAGCAATTTATTGGAATTCTTCTTAGAATGTTTAGACCTAAACATTAATTTTACACACTGGAAAATGCATTTTTCTTTTTGAATCTCTGTAGGTTTATATGTTGTTGTTTTTTTAACTTTTGGTTAACTTATTCTAAATTTCATGAAAACAATTCATGAATAAAACAACGTCATTCCTAGACCACTAGCTTATTTTTATTTTATTTTCTAGGAAATAACAGTACAACAGCTAATGGCTCATTTGGATTCCATCAGGAAAGATATGGTCATCCTAGAGAAAAGTGAATTTGCAAATCTGAGAGCTGAGAATGAGGTGATATAAGTTTTAATTTATTATTGATACAAATAACTGATCTCTTCAGTATGTTACTTGGTGAATAAGACCAAATAACTTTATGTGGTTACTAAACAAGTTTTTAGATTAAAAATACACTGTTTTATCATGCTTAATCTTTATGTGTAAATCAATGTCTTACATACTGAAGAACAAGAATTGCATTTTATGTACATAAAATTTACATAAAAGAAAGTCTTTGAGCTTACATACTATATAAAATTTCTTGTATAGCTCATAATATAATGTACTCAAAGCTGAAAATAATATGGTGTTTTTCATTTTATTTGATCCTCTATTGTCTTTTCACTTAAAAGTATGTTCCTGTAATCAGAAATTTGTTGTTATTCACTAGTGAATATATTTTTATATTTTATATAAATATATATGTATGTATGAGTGTATATAGAAAGATATTAAAATTTTGCTAATCTAGAGTCTCAGATGTTTTTTAAATGAATCAATATGGGTTTTCGGTTTCATGCTAATTGTTTATGATCTTTCTTACCTAGAAAATGAAAATTGAATTAGACCAAGTTAAACACCAACTAATGGTAAGTGAAATTTTTCCCATTTTAGTATCAGACCAATAAATTTCATTACAATATAATTTTTTAAATATTTTCTTTCTTTAAAGAATGAAACCAGTAGAATCAGAGCAGATAATAAATTGGACATCAACCTGGAAAGGAGCAGGGTAACAGATATGGTAATGAGCTTGTAAATGTAGCTTCTTGGTTACTTATTCCTTTTTAATTCTTTTTAGTCTTTTATTTTTTTTAATCTCCTGCTGCTTCATATCCTTTAGTTTACAGATCAAGAAAAGCAACTTATGGAAACAACCACAGAATTTACCAGAAAGGTAAGGGAGTAGTATGTAGAACTTTCTCTTTCATACATTTCTTTATATGTATCAGTTTTTAAGTTTAGACTTTATAAAGCTAGCCCTGTAAAATCCATGATTTCCTCATAGCTACTATAGTTAGCCAGCACTTTGTGGGAAGCTGCCCCCAAATAAGTGGTTGTACATGAGCTCTGACATTACACTAAGAATCAAGATTTTTGTATAGCACACATTTTTTTACCTAAATTATTTTTGCAGAGACAGTAATTGTGTCTTAAAAGACAAAGATTCACTGTTCACTATTGGTATTTAAGTGCCTAGGTTTAAATAAATACTTATCTTAAAAATTTGTTAAAAAAAATATTTATTGCAAATATTTCTTGCCAGATACTGTTTTGCATGCTTTACTTCTATTAATTTATTTAATTTTTGTATCAGCCTGTGGAAAGTGGGTATTATTATTCCCATTTTACCAGTTTGGAAAATGAGACAAGTTAAGATCACAGAGTTAATGACTGGTGGAGCTGGGATAAGAACCTGGATTCTAAACCCTATATTTAAAACTACTGCTTACCTTACCTTCTCAATAATCCTTAAATTTAATCATCATTTAAATTCTGTGGCTTGAGTAAACCCTAGCTTTCTGACCCAGCCTAGTCTTTTTCTTAAAAGCCATGTGACATTATTACCCTATGTACATACATGACTACATGACCAGTGTGATTCTATATCATGTACAACCAGAAGAATGATAAATTATACTCCATATATGTATGATGTGTCAAAGTGTGTTCTACTGTCATGTAGAACTAATTAGAACAAAATTTTTTTAAAAAGTTATAAGTCATTTGGCTTTCTAATATAGAAGAGACATTACTATGCTCAAATTTTAATAGACGGGAAGGCCACATATATCTTCAAGAATCCTATACTCTTACTTCTTGGCCAGAGAAAGTAGATAAGGAATTAAGCAAATTGTTTCACAACTGATTTCTGAGTTCTGGCTCCTATATATTCACCATTAGATATTTCTGCTAGTTCCTTTTATATTGGTGTCAATTCATATTACATATTGGGATTTTTTTTCCTTTTGCAGATAATATTTAAAATTTTAACCATACCATCCTAAGCACTTTACACAATAAAGTGATAGTTCTAGTATTAAAATTTTCGCTTTTCCATTTATCATCTTATATATTTATGTCTCAAGTGTCTTATGTGAGGTTTTTAGTAGAATATGCCCAGCATGTGATAATTCTAAGAAAATATTACAAGTGTGAAAATTGGGGTAATGTGGTTTGTTCCTTTGTGTCCATTGAATTTTTTTTTAATACCACTATGCTTTTACTGTATTTCCCCAGTGAAAATATTTATAATGCAAAATTAGCACATAAATATTTCTACAGAGGAACAAAATTTAGTTGTCTTTCTTATTCTTGCTTACTACAGGATACTCAAACCAAAAGTGTTATTTCAGAAACCAGTAATAAAATTGACACTGAAATTGCTTCCTTAAAAACACTGATGGAGTCTAATAAACTGGAGACAATTCGTTATCTTGCAGGTAAGACTGTCAAAGAAAGGAATACTGTCATTCAATTTTTGGACCTGTTAGTTCCTACCTCTCAAGGTAACCATATAGGTAACAGAAGAAAAGGAGAAGCTATAATGATGCTTTTAGTGCTTAGTCCCCTGTAATGCTTGAAGAAGGCTTCAGTCCCAAGATATAACTCACCAGGCAACTCTGTGCAACTTACTGAGAAGAAAAAGCACATGGGTAGCAAAGAAATGTATAAACCCAAGGACAAAATGATACAAGGATACAATGAAAATTTTCTTTTATTGTTTATATTCTTCCTTAAGGATTTGAGTGGGGTTAGATAAAAAGAACACTAAAGTAGATACAGGCCATTAAAAACCATACCAAGCAAAGGGTAATGGAGGGTTGAAACTAACTTCTTCATTCAATTGCCTGAGCACAGATACTACCCCCAAATTAGATTATTTGTCAGGTATTAAGCTCCTTAGTTACTATCTGACATAACAATTATATAGCCCTAATGAATTATGAAGAATACACTAGTCAAGTGATATTTGTCGTTTTTCTTTCTTTTTATAAAAAGTAATATTTTTTAAATTATACATCGTTTATAGAATTCAAAAGCAGCAAAAGCCTTCCAAATCTACTATTAGTAGCATGTATCTTTTTTTCTGTATATAAATATAACATACACCTTTAAAAAAAACTACATTTATATATGACAGTCAACTCTACAACTTTTTAAAAGGTAATCAAATGTCTTAATTATTTTTGAACTTCAGTACATACTTAGATGTCTTTTTATTAGAAAGCATAATATAAAAATGCTATAATTTACCCAATACTTTATTAACAGGCATTTTCCTCCCATTATTAGGAATAGTATTCCACTGAATAACCATATATATGTATGTTTGAATAAATACACATACATATACCCATCTTTGTATACTTACGCGAGTGTTCCTATGTAATAAGTTGTCATGCCCATTTAAAATTTGGGGTCAAAAAGATAATATTTTAAAACTTCGTATTAGTGAATTTCTATCCAGAATAAAATCCTGACTTATACTATCAGCAGTTTCCTCAGTGGCCACCACTGGTGTTGGGATGTTAGGAGAGGTGAAGAATGAGCCTGAGCTCTAGCTGATGCATGGATATGCAATTAAAATGACTCAACTTTTATCTCTTTAAAACATTGGGTTTCTGCTTAAGATTCATTTGAAGAAAGAATTCTAAGGCTAAAACATAACAACTAAAACAAACTCTACTAAAACATCTCTGGTCCTAAAGACATTCAGTTGTAATACCCAGGAAAATTCTAAAACAGCCCAGTTTGGAGTGTTCATTCCCTCTTTCAAAATTGATCACAAAGTAACAAAGTTTAGGAATGTGTTGAGGTGGACTCAGCTTCCTACAGAGTGTTTACCTATAATCTTAGTTTAAAATAACATAAGATGCTAATGAGCTCCAAAAAGCTTTCATTCAGAAGTGAAGATATACAAAGCAGAATTGAATAGACTTAGTGGCAATAGCAAAAAAAAAAAATTAACAAGTTAGTCATTTAGAAAAACTTAGTTCTAAGTCATCCTCCCTTCTGTTTTTTACTGAGGGTTTAAAGCCAACAATACTGAGGCATTTTTCTCTGTCCTTATCCATCTATAAATATGTACTACTTACTTGTATTGTTAATGTTAAGCCATTTAAGAAGCTAAAATCCCATACTTTGAACAAGTGGGATGATAATGTCATGAGTGGATCTGTTGGTTCTAGAATACCTGAGATAATTGCCTGTAAGACCCAGTTTATCTGAGATTCACATATTAAATTCAGTCATAAAGGGGGAATAAAAACTCCTAGTTCAGTTGTCAGAGTCCTATCATTAAAGATCTTGCATTTCCCTTGAAGAAGATATCAATGTGTCTTAATCACTTTGGTTAATCGGTATCCCAGCTTACATCAGTCAGTAATCTTTTAATTTTAAATATTATATATCCAACTTTAACTAGTTTTGGCTTATTATTAAATTTCGAAAAGTCAGGCATATCCTAACAAGGACAACTGGAAACAGAATTTACTCTGTATTCTGTCTCTGAATGTCCTCATTTTCTCCACACTAACTTTATGAGTTGGAAACATTACCACCAGTAGCTCCTACATTGATGTCATTCTACTCTCACCAACCAATACAAAAAAATCCCAGGAAATAGTCTGAAGAGCCCCCTCTTGGGGTTGCAGTTCCTTTTGGCCCAGATCACTATTGCCGAGGAAGCAACAGCTGTAAAGTAATGGTAGTTCTGTTTAATCTGTGTTACTGTAGATGTTCTGGGCAGATAAATAGTAATAAAAAGCTAACATTTGTGGGAAATTTACCAGACACATGGCTTATTTAAGCATTTTACATATATGTAAGTTCACTGCTAGACAGTCCATAGAAGATAAACAGCAAACTTAAAAATAATTTGGGATGTCTTCATGATTATTAGTAGTGGCAACAAGAAGAAATAAAAGCCAAAATAATAGGAACAAGAAAAAAAGAGACACTAAATTTGGAAACACTTCTGTATTCTAACAAAGAAATGAAATACTTTCCTCCTCACAATAAATTCATCAGCTCTTAAATTAGCAAAAAATAAAAATCACCTAAATAGCCACATGTGGCTCAAAAAAAAAAAAAAAAAAAAATTCAGGGCTGGGGCTGTAGCTCAGTAGCAGAGCCCTTGCCTATCACATGTGAGGCACTGGATTTGATCCTTAGCCCCACATAAAAATAAAGAAGGCATTCTGTCCATATACAACTACAAAACAGTTTTTTAAAAAAAAAAAAATTACAAATGTCAGTACAAATAAGGCTAACAGAATGGTTTTCAAAAAACAAAGCTTTGGAGTCAGGTATACCTATTCTTGAATCCTGGCTTCACCATTTGCTGGTCATATAGCTTTGGGCTATATGACCAGCAAATCTAAACAACAGGGATAATACCACTAATCTCATAGGATTTTAATCATATCTAAATAAGGTAATGGAATCACTTAGCACACTACCTGACACATGGTAAATAATAGCAGGATCAAATTGGATAATGTATAATTAATTGCAGTAAGACAAGATATTCTTTTTTTTTTACCACAATACCTTTATCCTATTTATTTATTTATGTGGTGCTGAGGATTGAACCCAGGGCCTCACATGTGCTAGGCAAGTGCTCTACCATTGAACTACAGCCCCAGCCTAATATATTCTTAATGTTATTCTTTCTTCTCAAATGTCCAGATTCCCTACGTATCTTAAGCCTAATTTCATTTCTTAAAAATAAGGAACTGACCTTATCATTAACTAAGTTACATTAAATAGCACAATTAAGTGGGATAGTGTAAATTAGATTTATACATTATAATTAAAATAGCTTTATTATATATAGCTAATTTCTTGTGTCTTTAGTCATAAAAGTTTGTCCTTTATCTCAGATTCTCCATTTAAAGATGCTTTCATGGCCTTTTAAACAAACTGGAGATTAGAGAATCCTTAAAAGCCTCACTCAAATTTGACCACTTTTTTTTTTTTTAAGGTGCTAGGTTCAAACCCAGGTCCTCGTGCAGGCTAGGCAAGAGCCCTACCCCTGACCCACATACCTAGCCCCCTTAACTTCTTAAAAGGGGCTGAAACATTTTCTCTTAGAATGATGTAATATGGAGCTGGGGTTGTGGCTCAGTGGTATAGCACTTGCCTAGCATGTGTGAGGCAGTGGGTTCAATTTTGCACTACCTAAATAAATGAATAAAATAAAGGTCCATCAACATCTAAAACTTTTTTTTTTTAATGATGTAACATAAAGAGCAGGTGGTGTGTGGGCTGAGGATGTAATTCAGTGGTAGAGCATTTGCCTAGCATGCACAAGCACCACAAATAAAGGGGGAAAAGCTGGTGGTATATTAACCAAAAAGCCTTATGCTTTTTCTGCCCTCTACTCTCTGAAGTTTTTTTCTTTAAGGATTTTCATTAAAATTTAAGTTTTTAGTAATTATGAGAGAATTATTTCTTTTAAAAGAGATGGGTTCTTTATTACCTAGGATTCCCCAAACTCTTGGGCTCAGCCTAAGTAGTTGGGACTACAGGCCACTGTGCCCAGCTGAGAAATTATTTTAAAATGTACTGAAAAGACAATATAAATTTTCTTCTCCAATTGGCAGTGTAGCTCAGTGGTAGAATACTTGCCTAGGAAGTACAAGACCCTGGGTTCTCCCCAGAACCACACACAATTTTTTTTTCCATAGATATATTAATGCCTGTTCTATTAACCTAAAACACATATTTTTAACATAAGAAAGATGACTTTATTGTAAAATGAAATAGTTTATAATTTTTTAGTCATTTGTAACACTACTGTCAATGACTTTAAATACTGTTTATAGATTCTGACTTATCATCTACATTTCTAAATTATTTTTATCCTTATTCTGTCTTAAAATTTAGGAAGCTTTTAAAAATAATGTATTGCCAGGCACAGTGGCACATGCCTGTAATCCTGGTTTCTAAATAAAATGTGAAAAGGGGCTGGGGATGTAACTCAGGTTAAATTCCACTGGGTTCAATCCCTGTTACCAAAAATAAAAATAACTGGCTTTAATACTGTGTTATTAATTATTATCTTTACCTTAGTTTTCTAAGGAAAGAAAAACATAAGGTACAAAATTGATTTCCTTTATCTTTCTCTTCATCTAAATTGAAAATAACATTATTCTGTTAATCCCTGCAAAATAATAATGAATACTTGACTTGTAATATAGTTTCTTTTTTCTTTCTTTCTTTTTTTTTTTTTTTTTTTTTTTTTTACAGCCTCAGTGTTCACTTGTCTTGCAATAGCATTGGGATTTTATAGATTCTGGAAGTATTACTAACTATCCTACTGTTGGCTGCTATTGACTTCATAGAATACTACACCGGGAGTCTCTTTGAACATTTTCAGTTGCTGCAGAAAATTTACAACAACATTATTCAAAGTATGCATGGACTAAAGAGAAGTATTTTAAGTATTTTATCTTTATTTTATGTGTCTGTATTTTATTCGTTTGAAAAGCTATCATCCAAACCCTGATTTATTTGCGATAGAAGGGCATTTTGTCCTCATCCTTTTGATAGTTCATAGAAACTGAACTAAAAATTTTCTTGTATTTGCTTCAAGAATTTTATAAATCAAATAGAATTTTGTTGGTATGTACTGCAAATTTGAAAACTATGCCTTAGCCTACATGCTTACTGGACCTAACTCTCCTGATAAGTACTGTAGTTAAATTTTTATATAAAATAAAAGATTATTATAAGAAAATATGATTCAAATATATGATATGTCAAGGTCGTTGTACTGTCATGTGTAACTAATTAAAATAAATTAAAAAAAGAAAGTAGCTTGGTTTTGAAAGTGTCTCACTATATAACAGGAGATTATTTTCTTTTTATAATAAAAGTAAACAATAATTTTTAAAATTTGTGCTCCAGTATCTAACCACTAGTATAAAAATCTATGAAGTTATTCTGATCATTACACTTACTTTTTTAAATTTTTCATATAAAAACCAGGGTTTATCCTTGATTTTCAATTTAAAACAATTTAAATCAACCCATCTTAAACTTATAAGACAAAACTTTTCCTAATGATTCATTTAAATTCAGCAAACATCTGTTGGTATATATAGAGCCTACTCCCAGGAAACTTATATGGTAATCCAGGTTTCAGGTTTTTATTTTGTTGCTTTTGGTGACCCTATATTTTTTCTCATTTAGTGTCTCATGACAATATATATGTTATTTTTTTTAATTACAAACTGTCATTTTTATCTTAGTTCTTTAGTTCTATCCACATTAAGAAGCCACAGTCTGAAGTTAAACACTTCAGAATATTTTATAATTCCTTGGCAACGGCTTTAAAAGTTTCATAATCAGTCAACCAGTTATTCAAAATATCCTACATTGAATATCCTATTCAAAATAACCCTACATTTTTAAAAAACTTTTTTATTTCTAAACAGTTATACATGACAGCAGAATGCTATTTGATTCATTGTAGAACACAATTAGAACACAATTTTTCACTTCTCTGTACACGAAGTAGGGTCATGCCATTCCCATTCATGCAATCATGTATGTACCTAGGGTAAGGATGTCCATCTCATTCCACCATCTTTCCTATGCCTATACCCCCTCCCCTCCCCTCCCCTTTGCCCAGCCCAAAGTTCCTCCACTCATCCTGTGTCCCCCCAACCATTATAGATTACCATCCACTTATCAGAGAAAACATTCAGCCTTTAGTTTGGGGAATTGGCTTACTTTGCTTAGCATGGTATTCTCTAACTTCATCCATTTACCTGCAAGTACCATAATTTTATTCTCTTTTAATGCTGAGTAATATTCCACTGTGAATATATATCACAGTTTCTTTATCCATTCATCTATTGAAGGCCATCCAGGTTGGGTTCACTATTTGGCTATGAACATTGATGTGGCTGCGTCACTATAGGATGCTGATTTTAAGTCCTTTGGGTGTAAACTGAGGAGTGGGATAGCTGGATCAAATGGCGATTCCAATCCAATTTTTTTAAGGAATCTCCATACTACTTTCCAGATTGGTTTCACCAATTTGCATTCCTGCCAGCAATGTATTAATGTGACTTTTCCCTCACATCCTCACCAGCACTTATTGTTTCTTGTATTCTTGATAACTGCCACTCAGACTGGGGTGAGATGAAATCTTAGAGTAGTTTTGATTTGCATTTCTCTAATTGCTAGAGATTTGAACATTTTTTCATATATTTGTTGATTGATTATATATCTTCTGATAAGTGTCCAATTACTTAGCCTATTTATTGATTGGGTAGTTTGGTTTTTTGGTGCTAAGTTTTTCGAGTTCTTTATATATCCTAGATATTAATGCTCTAATATGTGTGTGGTAAAAATTTGCTCCCATACTATAGTCTCTCTTTTTACCTCACTGATTGTTTCTTTTGTTGAGAAGAAGCTTTTTAGTTTGAATCCATCCCATTTATTGATTCTTAATTTTATTTCTTGTGCTTTAGGAGTCTTGTTAAGGAAGTTAGGGCCTAATCCAACATGATGAAGATCTGGGCCTACTTTTTCTTCTATTAGGTTTAGGGTGTCTGGTCTAATTCCTAGGTCCTTGATTCACTTTGAGTTGAGTTTTGTGCGTGGTGAGAGATAGATAGGGGTTTAATTTCATTTTGCTACATATGGATTTCCAGTTTTCCCAGCACCACTTGTTGAAGAGGCTATCTTTTCTCCAATGTGTGTTTGGGCACCTCTGTCTAGTATAAGACAGACTGTATTTATGTGGGTTTGTCTCTCTGTCTTCTATTCTGTACCACTGGTCTACCTGTCTGATTTGGTGCCAATACCATGCCATTTTTGTTCCTGTGGCTCTGTAGTATAGTTTAAGGTCTGGTATTGTGATGCCTCCTGCTTCACTCTTCTTCATAAGGATTGCTTTGGCTATTCTGGGTCTCTAATTTTTCCAAGTGAATTTCATGATTGCTTTTTCTATTTCTGTGAGGTATGACATTGGGATTTTAATTGGTATCACATTGAATCTATGTAGCTCTTTGGGTAGTATGGCCATTTTGACAACATTAATTCTGCCTATACAGAACAAGGGAGATCTTTCCATCTTCTAAGATCTTCTTCAATTTCTTTTCTTTGTTGTTCTGTAGTTTTCTTTGTAGAGGTCTTTCACCTCTTTTGTTAAATTGATTCCCAGGTTTTGTTTTTTGTTTGTTTGTTTGTTTGCTTATTTTTGTTTTTGTTTTTTGAGGCTATTGTGAATGGGGTGGTTTTCCTAATTTCTCTTTCAGAGGATTCATCAGTGATGTGTTGAAATGCATTTGATTTATGGGTATTGATTTTTATATCCTGCTGCTTTGCTGAATTCATTTATTAAATCTCGAAGTTTTTGGTGGAATTTTTTGGATCCTCGAAGTATAGAATCATGTCATCAGCAAATAGTGATAGTTTGAAACCTGCCTTTTTTTTTTTTAGATAGGAAAAATGTAGAAAAATAAAGAGACTCATGCACATGGTCCAGTGAGTGAGAATCAAAGGATTTTCTTCAAAGATCTAACTGCTGAGTTGTTTTCAAAACAAAACTCTATATATCTTAACATTATCCTATTACATTCTGATTCATTATCTCCAAAATCTCTTATCTACAAGTTCTTAACATATTATAAATTTCTATTACATTAATAAAGACCATCTAGGCTAAAGTCCACTGTAATAAACTACAGTGCATTTCATTCACTTAATCCTTATGACAACCTGCTATGTGCCAAAGAGCGTGAGCTCCCCGTGTACACAGCGGTAAACATGTTTAATTCTCATAGAACTTAATAATCTTAGTGGAGATTAAACAATAAGTTATATTAAACAATAATATATTTTAAATTGTAACCAGATGGAAGACTTCCTTCCTCCATGAGAAGGAATAGCACATGAAGAACATCATAACATTGTCATCACTCTAACCCCTCCTCCACTCTGCTCTAAGGAACTAAAGTAACTTATCCAGTTGTAAATTTGGTAGGAGAAACAGGCTGTAGAAGCTCAGTTCATCCCTATTCTTATTTGGAAACACCATATAGAGAATATACATTCTGTTCTGCTTCTATGGGAAACAGGCGTACTTCTCTCTCACAGTCCAGTGTAAGAATCCTAAGGGCTAATGTGTCAGCTCCATGGTGTCAGGGTCCTGACTCCTCCTTATCTTACTCATTTTTATAATGTCCAGTGACTCACCACCACATCTACATTTTAGAAGAAATGGGCAGGAGGTGGAAAACCCTTTCCCTTTTAGGGGCATGAACCTAAGGTATAACATACTATGTTTGTTCACATCTTATTGGTCACAACTTCCATCTGATTCGATGCTAGGGAACCTAAGAAGTTAGTTCTTATCCTGAGCAGCAAGAAACCCCAGGAGATACTATAACTATAGAAGAGAGAAGAATAGATGTTGGGGACAACCAGGAAACCTCTACCACAGGTACATGCTTCTATTACAATGTTCTTCTGGCATTTCCTACCTCACTGATAAGAAAGACATAGACTTGAAAAAAACAGAAGCAAATAAAACAATTTCCATGGTTGGGATTAACTCAAGAGTCAATAATTAGAGGGGGAAAATAAATCTGTATAATCCCAGAAGATGAGAGGAATGTTGCATTTGGAATTCCAGAAGTGGTAAATGAGAATGAGGACTGAACTTTCGCTGTTAAGGTTAGAACCACAGCTCTGCAATATGTGATCCTAGGTACAACCACTTAATCTGTCTATAAAATATATATACTTCATATTATTGTAGATTCAAAGTCCATTGGAAACCACAGAGAAACTTAACAATAGTGAATATAAGGAGTATCAAGAAAAGAGCTAAGTCTTTTTTCCTTCTTTTTTGTGGTGCTAGGGACCAAACCCAAGGCCTCACACATGTTAAGCATGCCCCTTACCACTGTGCTACATTCCCAGCTCAAGCTGATCTATTTTAACACCATTAACCAGCCTGAACTGGTCTTAGCAATCCAGTGTACTCTTATGAAGGCAAACTAGTCCTCATGATACTAGATTAAATTGTCCTTTAGCATCCATGAAAAGTATACGTAAGGATACCAAGAATGGACAAGCTGGTATATTGTGGTTGAGAATGCTACTGTCAATGAAGCCCAAAGCTAGTGATCAGATATTCAGAAAAAGATAAGATCTAGACAGAGCCCCCAAGATAGTTCATGGGGGAACTATTCTTTGCTAGTTCATGAAAGGAAAAAAAGGAAAGAAAGGGCAGGTAAAATATGGAAACTATATCAGAACCTAACTATATATCATACATTTTTTTTAAGTCAGCGAAGAACAACTAATCTTAATTTGAAGTGGGGGGTAAAGGGAAGAAAAATAATAAAGCCATGTATTTCTTATCCTGTCCAGGCTGCTTCTTAACTATACTCCTTCTAAAGCTTGCAAGACATACAAAGGTTGAATTCTGAAGCAGGTTATTTAAATGGGTATTCTTAGCAACACATACTATGCTTTTTTAATAATAGCAAACTTTCAGTTTGCATAAAACTTTGCCAAGTGAGATATTTGGTTGCTATTGTAAAATTAGTTATATCATTTGAAAAACAGAAAAATGTTAAAACCATATGCGCACCAGGCATGGTGCACGTACCTGTAATCCCTGCAAAATTTGGGGGCCTGAGGCAGAAGGATTACAAGTTCAAAGCAGCCTCAGCAACTTAGTGAGGCCTTATCTCAAAATAAAAAACAAAAGAGGCTAGGGATGTTGCTCAGTGGTTAAGCACCCCTGGGTTCAGTTCCCATACCAAATAAATAAACACAACAGCAGCTGTAAATGGTACTTTAGAAAGTGAAAGAAATACAATCCTATTATGGAGTCATAACAAAATTTTTAATAAATTTAATATCTAGAACTAGATTTCCTTTAATTATTAGACTGGACAATTTATATTTTACAAATTTAATTGCTCATAACTTTTGACTTCCTTAAGTTGGTATATAAAAATTAATTTTGGGAGGGAGTGTACAAGTAAATCAATATAATTTTAAAAATCCCTATGATAGGGCTGGGGCTATAGCTTAGTGGCAGAGCGCTTGCTTAGCATGCATGAGGCACTAGGTTTGATCCTTAGCACCACATAAAAATAAACAAATAAAATACTTTGTGTACAACCAGAGATATGAAAAATTGAGCTCTATATGTTTAATATGAATTATAATGCATTCTGCTGTCATATGTAGCAAATTAGAATAAATTTTTAAAAATAAAGGCATTCTGTCTATGTACCACTACAAAAAAAATTTTTTTAAATCACTATGATAAAATATTTCCACCTTCAGAAATGGGATAGAGTAGCATATCAAAACAATTCTGAGAAGAGTTGCTATAGATTTATATTTATACTGATTTCTTAAAGAGAAAATCCAGCAAGTTTATTTAAAGTTTTTTCACAGACTAGTTAGTACCTTCTTACAAACACTCCCGCAGAAGGCACCTTTTTTTTCACTCGCCTCTTCTCTTTGCTGGACTCACATGAGTCATCTTCCTATCAACAAAAGAAAAAAGAAATGAGACTTTTCATTCAAGCACATATTTTCATCTTTCTACATTGTCTGTTCAAAAGAAAAAAAATTAATCATGCTAAGTATTTTCAACTCTGATTAAATTTCTTTTAAGATTTTTGTAAATAAGATCCCAACTCTGAAGTACCAGTGCTTCATATTAAGCTAAATCTTAAGGCTGGAAGGCACCTTGAAAAATCATTCAGTCCTATCTCTACCTAAAATATCCCTCAAAGAGAATGCCTTGTTTTTTATTCTTGTATCTTAGACTAACATGTCATAATACACTGCTAACTGAAATGCAGAAAGGGTCACTATGTCATCCTCTGGATTTTTTTGCAAGGTCCACAGGGCTAGGATTTATATTTGCTGACTCCTTTCTTCCCTTTTATGGTTTGTACAGCACCTCTTTACTGCCCTTGTCTCATTTTCCACTTTGCCCCACTCCCACTGTTCCTGAAAATTTCTTGTCATCTTGGTAATTCTCATGACCTATCGGAAAAATCAACAAAATGCTATGGAAAGGAACAAGGGATAAGGCTGGAAACACTGCAGATGTTCACTAGCTCTTAGTCATTTCTGAGTAATTCTTCAAGTAAAAAAAATGCTGTGGGGGCTGGGGTTGTGGCTCAGCGGTAGAGCTCTCGCCTAGCTCATGCGAGGCCCTGGGTTCGATCCTCAGCACCACATAAGAATAAATAAATAAAAATATTGTGACCAACTAAAAAATTTTAAAAAATTAAAAAAATAAATTTAAAAAATGCTGTGTACCTAGTTAGGACAGAATCTGAATAAAGAAGCTCCATGAACAGGACAAGGCACATGTCCATGGGGAAAGCCCATGGCTAGAATTTATTCCTGAAGGTGTTCCTTCTGATACTTTTGCTAATGAGCTCAGTTAGCTTTATTCATATATAGTAGTGTATGAACCTGGAAGCTATCTTCCAACACCACCTGGAAAAACAGTCATTTCTCTGTGTTCCCTCCTCTTCTCTCAGTTGCAAACTTGCTATCATCCAAGTTTCTAAAGATGAATTTGTCAAAATAAATCTTCTTAACAAGCACCGTAAGAAAGTGAGGGTGTGGAGTTTATAATGGCAGCAGCAAGTAATGTGGACAGGATGAACTTGAGGCTGGGCTGTTAGGTTGAAATTAGAATGTCTTGACACAAAGCCCAGCGTACAAGTACTCAATACCTAAGTTGATGATGACTGAAATATTATAGAGATGAATCAGATAATCTTATGAAACTTAAATTTTTAGTACTGTGGATAAACTAAGTACCCAATCAAACTGTAATATAAATGAGATGCCCTCAGAGCAGTACAAAGTGCTTGGTGAAAGGAGAGATCATATGTGGTCATGGGCATTAGGAAAGAGGTAACAAAAGCAATGATTCCTGGGGATTTTTAAGAGGCAGAGTTGATAGGGAGCCTTCAGGCCTAAGAACAAAATGAACAAAGGCTTGGTGATGGGAAAGAGTAGGGTAAGGTCAGAAAAGACAGGCTACATGTAGGAAAACAGACAAAAATAAGGCTGTTAAGATAGTTTAAGACTAAATGACAAACTAAAGATTCATTCATTCATTCAGGGTAGGAGAGTGACAAGAAAATCAAGCTGATAATTTCTGTGTCTACACAGAATAATAGTTCAGACAGACACAGACACCTTCACAGACACCTACAAGATCAGCAAGAAAAATAGAGCATATGCTCCTATCTGTGGGATGGCCCACTTTTTATGGGCTGGAGAAAACAAAGTTAGTCATGACTAAGAATCTAAGACTGAGCAGGGCACTGTGATGCACAACTGCATTCCCAATTTCTTAGGAAGTTGAAAAAATATATATATATTTTTTCATACACGTATACATATAATATACACACATATATAAAGGGTTGGGGATATAGTCCATTAGTAGAGTGCTCCAGGTTCAATTCCTAGTACCACCAAAAAAGAAAAAAAAAAATCCAAGACTCAAGACAGTAATTGAGAAAATGGTGATGCCATGAATTTGAACATAGAGGGGAATCTGGTCTTTATGTTGAGTTTGGTTCTCTACATTTTTTTAAATTAGGTGCCATCAAAAATTTCAAGTGGAAATGTGCTACTGGCAATGAGAAATAGTTGAGGAGTCCTGATGGGGACATAGTACTAAAATATGAGTTTGATAATCACTTACACAGAAAGATTAGAGAAGTTTAATCTGAAGGCAGAGATTCTGAGTTTGTTCCTGCTTCACACTAGCTATACGCTCTAACAAGATACTTAGCTTCCTCATACATAACATAAAATGAAATCTACCTCCTCAGTGTTGATACAGAGAAGCTGAGATAATATCTAAGAAAGCACTATAAAAATAGTTATTTAAAAAACTAGTTTTTAGGGCTGGGGTTATGGTTTAGCGGTAGAGCACTCGTCTAGCACATCCGAGGCCCTGGGATCAATCCTCAGCACCACATAAAAATAAATAAATAAAATAAAGGTATAAATTTTTTTTTAATTTTTAAAAATATGTCAAACTATCCTAAGTAACTCCTAAGAACTTCTCTGAGTAAAAATTATACTACTACAGATTCTTGGGTGGAGAGATTTAAAGATACAACTTTATGCAATCATAAGAAAGTAGTGGGAGAAAGATTTAGTCAGACTCCAAAATAAACTCTTCCAATCCTTAGCTGCATAGGAAGGAAAAAAGAGAAAAAGACACAAGAAAGGGAGAAAATAATACAAACAATACTGCTAGTAATAGCTTGTGTGTGCCACAAACTGCTCAGGGTTTCTACATAATATTTCATTTAATATCACTACAATCCCATGAGGTATTATTATCCCCCATCTTATAGATGAGGAGATCGAGAATTAGAAGCTTTTCAGAAGAGAAAATAAGAAGTGCCCGAGTTACTGCTGTTAATGACATTAGCTCATTTACAAAAATTGGGATTAACTTGGGCTGGGGTTGTAGCTCAGTGGTAGAGTGCTTGCCTCGAATGTGTGAGGTACTGAGTTCAATTCTCAGCACCACATAAAAATAAAAAAATAAATACAATAAAGGTTCATCAACAACTGAAAAATATATATATTTTTTTTAAATTGGAATAATCTAAAGCAAGATTGCACAACAAACGGCCCTCAGTCCAGGGCCTGAGTCAGCTCTCCTGAAAGTCTACACATTGTTAGAGGAGAGTGGCATTTTAGAGAACCTGAATTGTGCAGAAGGAAACTTGAAAACAGAATGCTTCTGAACATGAAAAGAGAATTTATAAATAGCTAAAAAATGGAAAATTTTATGCAGAGACTGTCAGTTTGGAATGACTCAAATGAAAGTGTACATTTTGAGTGATCCCCAAAATAAAGACTGTACCACCTAAGCAGCTGGAGAAAAACAACTACCTTTGAGGAGGAATTGCAGTCCCTGCCACAAGGTGGCAAGATGACAAGGACAGATATTATTTTAGTATTTCTAAATTGGCTTTATGGTTTAGATGTGATGTCCCCCAAATGTTCACATTTGAGACAATGCAAGAAGGTTTGAAGGAGAAATGATCGGGTAATAGCCTTAACCTAATCAGTGAGTTGATCCCTGATGGGACTAATTGAGGGGTTACTGGAGGCAGGTGGGGTGTGGCTAGGAGAAGTGGTTAATTGAGGGCATGGCTTTGGGATATATATTTGTACCTGAAGAGTGAGTGGAGTCTCTCTCTCTCTCTCTCTGCTTTCTGATCATGATATGAGCTGCTTCCCTCTGCCACACTCTCCAGCTATGATGTTCAACTCATCTGGAGCCCCAAGGAATGGAACCGGCTTTCTACGGACTAAGACCTCTGAAACCATGAGCCCTCAAACTTTTCCTCCTCTATAACAGTGCTGGTCAGATCCTTTTAGTTATAGCAGCGAAAAAGCTGACTAAAATGGTGGTTATTAAAGAGATTAATAATTAGTTTGTACAAAATAAAAAGAAGCCAGGAAGTTTTTGTTATAAATCATGAAGCAATTCAGGCCTGGAACAGAACTAATTCATCCAATAATGAAGAAAAAACTTCTTTACAGAAAGAAAATATTAACCATGTCTGAATCCCCACTTTGTATCATAATGAGCCAATCACAAGGACCACATCATGGCAGTCTTCACTTGAAGAACACATAAGGGTCAAAGTTTCCCAGTGCATTTTCTACCTTATCTACTCTTGAGATCTAGAAGGCCTCAAACACAAGAAGCACTTGGGGTTTCCTGCTGTCATGTTTCTGTCTTCTATACTCCACCTATTTTTCTGGACTTGGCTCTATTTCTTACATGAGTTTCTTTTTAATTTCCTTCTATATATTTGCTCTTTTTCTCACTCTTAAGATAAATTTTTCTATTTTTTACAGCCATATTCTGAATTCCAAATTCATAATTTCAATTGTGAAAGAACTAAGAGTATGTAGTCAAAGTTACAAATTTTGACTGATATTTCCACCATTACCAGCTGTGTGATTTAAATAAGTTACTTAACCCTTCTGAGCCTCCATTACTTCCTATACTAAATGAGGACTAGACAAATAACATAATAAGAAACTTGTGAAAGAACTCTGTAAACACAAAGTGTTATACAAATGTTAGTTTGTATAATTCCATAACCTGAGCAAAAGGATGCTGTGAAAATTTCTATGCTGGATCTTTTTTATTGTTTTTTGTTTTTCCTTTCAGTACTAGGTATCAAAATCAAGGCTTCACATGCTATGCAAGTGCCATACCCATTGAGCTACACCTCTAGCCATTTTTTTGGATGGGGAGGGTGTTGCAGGAACTGAACTCAGAGGCACTGGATCACTGAGCCAAATCCCCAGTGCTCTATTTTGTATTTTATTTAGAGACATGGCCTCACTGAGTTGCTTAGGGCCTCACTGTTGCTGAGGCTGGCTTTGAACTTTCAATCCTCCTGCCTCAGCCTCCTAAGCCACTGGATTACAGGCCCATACCACTGCACCCAGCAACCACCCTTTTATTTTTAGTCAGAGTCTCACCAAGTTGCCAAGACTGTCCTCAAATTTCCAATCCTCCTGCCTCAGTCTCTCAAGTAGCTGGGATTACAAGCCTGTGCCATCAGGCCTGCCTCTTTTCTACTCTTAAACTGCTGAAAGTTTCTAAAATGGATTCCATTCCAAGAACTTTACTTAGGTTATTTATAATATTAAAATGTACATACTTTCTAACTGCCTCTGAATTCTTACTGCTTATTCTGCCTATAAAAAATAGCTTTTCCTTATATGGTACAAGATCAACAATAGCACTTACTACACACTCAGTGAACCATGCTGAGGTCCTAACTAAAAGAGACACACACACACACATTGAAGAGGAAGAAACTATTAGAGATAAATAGAGCTATACATATAGATGTATATTCCTTTTATCTTGACATCAGCTCTAAAAAGTCTAAATAATTCTCTTCAACTTACAACTGAATCACAAAGCAGTTAAATGATTTTCCCAAATCAAAAATTATTGTAACCAGGAATCAAACTCAACTAGTCCCAGCCCAAAGCTTACACTCTGATTTATTTCCTCAATAAAAATAAACATGTTAAGGATACCAACCATATCCATAAAATTGGGGGTCTGAATTTTCTCCATTGTTTCCCTAAGTTGATCCACCTCTGCTCGATATTCATCCAGTTGGCATTCTAATTTCTCTCTACGGAGTCGTTCATACTCCAGCTGGTCCTGCAGTTCTTTGATGGTCCTGTCAAAACAATTTTATTCAATTATCCTCCAATATCATTATATACTCCAATACCATTACTAACATTTTTGGTAACAGTGGAAAGTGCCCATTTAAGACAAGTAAATTAAATCAAAGGCATAGTTACTGCATTTCAGGTCTACTTGAACCAGCACTGATCTGTGTACTAGAGATAAGTAGTGAAAAAAAAAAAAGCCAAGACCTGCCCTCTTTAATTTAGTAGTGGAGGAAAACAGATAGTGGGGGGGGGGGGAAGTAAAACACATTGGTATCTCCGAGATGATAAGTCCTAAGGGGATGGGGGGGGGGGAGCAGGAAACAGTGATATAAAATATCATGGAAGAGGTGATTAGCACTTCATGTTCAGTGGCTAGGAAAGGCTTTACTAAAAAGGGTACTTTAAGCAAAATTCTGCAGAAAATAGAAAGCTAGACATCAGGGGAAGAACATTCCAGAGAGGGAAAGACCTAAGACCCTAAGGCAGAAATATGCCTGGGAAGGAAAAAAGAAGAAAATCAGAAGCCAATCTGGCTGGAGTAGTTTTAAAAATAAATAAATAAAATGGAAAGTAGTATAGGTTAGAGGTCAAAAAAAAAGCCAGAACAGGCAGGTAGGGCCTTATAAGTCATAGTAAGGATTTCAGTTTTTAATGAGTGAAATAGGAATCCACTGGAGGATTTGAAGAGAGAATCAGCATGCTCTCGCTGAAGTTTTAATGTGACTTCTCTTGGGAACAGACAATAAGGTAGAAGGTGGGGTGAGGGCACAAGGACAGAAGACTGGGAAACCTGTCAGGAGGAGGTCATAATAATCCAGACAAGAGATACTGTGACATAAACCAGGGTTTTTGTCTAGAATTCCCAAAGCATACTGGCTTGGATTCCAGGTCCCCAAGGAGGGCAGTCTGAGAGTACACCGAAGTAGTTCTTTCTGGTAGAAAAATGAGTGGGGTTAAGATGGAGGAAGTGGAAGCCCAACAAATAAGTTCAACAAATAAGAAGGGAAGATGATCCTTGGGACAGAGTAATACAACTATGTTTTGGTGTATTGTGAATTTGATGTAAATAATAAGTAACAAACCAAAAGTATATCATTCAAATCAATATTTATCTTTTTTTTATAGATATACCTCAGGAGTTTGTACCCAAAATATAAATGAAAGGATCTAAGAACTTCCAGCTAGGATCTTAGGCTAAAGCTAGTACTAAAAATATTCTACATCTCAAACGCTTCAAGAGTATAGAGGCAGTGGTTAGCTACCTATATGATGTGATTTGTGAGAAACCAAGGAAGCCCTGACTCAAAAAGAAAAAGTTCTACCACGGCTTCCTAACAACTAAAATCCCATTAAGAGTATTCTGGCAACATATTTTGTCTTCTATTTAAACCCCAAGTATTATCCATAGAAGGAAATCATGTTAAATTTTTATCAAATATCTAAATGTTACTCTAAATACCTTTACCAGCTTTCTTAGTGAGGCTAGATCCAGAAGGGGATGGAAGGAAAACAGGCAGTTCTAAGAGTGTAAAGGAAAGAGATAAAACCAATAGGAAGGGCAGGGAAAGTAGAGGAAGAGGAAAGAAATCCATGTGCAATTCGAGTTTCTCTTTTACAGAGCCATGTCTCCTGTCCCCCTTTGTTCTCTGTGCACTCTAGAAAGCAAACAGACAGGCATACAGGCAGTGGGAGAAAAGAAGCATGCGGCATCTTTTATTCTTGCAGCCACTGATTCCTAGAGAGGTAGATACCCAATGTCCAGAGAGTCAATTTAGGATGCAGGGAGTAAAAGGTAAGTATAGCTGTACAACTGCTCACTGCCTCTAGATTTAAGCACATTCTCTGATGGGTATTATTGGCCAATCCGGGAATGGGTTTCATATTTGTGAGTAGGCAGTCCTGTCTGATGGGGATGTTCAAAGACCTATGCTGGTTGAAAAGATTAAAATAGCTGTAGTCTCAAAAAAAAAAAAAACCCAAATTCCTTAAAGAGTTAAAGAGTGCCAGTTTTGCAAGATGGAAAAGAGTTCTAGATTCAAGTTGCACAACAATGTGAATATACTTAATGCTACTGAACTGTACATTTAAAAACAGTTGAGATGATAAATTTTATGTTGTGTATACATTATCACATTTTCTTTTAAAAAAAAAAAAAACTTTAACTCCTTCTCCATCAGATATCTAGTAGGAGGTTTTAGAACCCAACACCCTTTGACAGGATGAAACAACAAACCCTCACGTGGCATCTAGAGAGGTAACTAAATACAAATAATTAAAGTTTTAAAGACATTACTTTTCAGATTCAAGCTGTTCTTTCTTCTGCTTTAGATCCTCTTCTGTTATCCCACCCAAATGTTTATAGTTGCTCTCAGCAATTTCCAGAAGGTGTCTCAATTCTGTAATTTTGTTATAAGCTCTCACTGCAAGACACAATTTAATAAGAACCTAATTTAGACGTGTAACAGGACATATGCTCAGAGTCATGGTCCTCACAAGCATTTTCTATAGAGCCACCTACCTGTGTGGTTTGAGAAGGCAGTTGAAGAAAGGGTGGTATATATACAGAGGATAAAACATAAGTGACAGAATAGTTAGATGAGCAAGCAATAAAACACCTAAACATAGGGTTCTTACTCTGCTATTGGAGCATATATCAGACTATTATAACTATTCATGCTATGAACAAGAAGGTTTAAAGAAAACTAACAGTAGTATATTACATGACTATGTATAATCCACTATACATTAGAAAATCAGAAGAAATTAAATACGTTTTATTAATTTAAAATAACCTAGAATTAATCCATTCCAAATTTTGGTTAGTCACTTGTAATATCTATGAAAGAGAATACTGACAGGAAGAAGTATTAGTTTCAATCATCCTCCAACTACCAAAACTATGATTTTTCTTTTCATCCTTAAAGATAGTGGGTCTCAACCTTGAGTGATTTTTTCCCCCCTCAAAGGACATCTGGCAGTGTCTGGAGACATTTCTGCTTATCCTAACTTGGGATTCAGCTACTGGCACCTAATGAGTTCAGGATGCTATTAAGTACCTTATAATGTACAGGAGAGCCCCCTTCAACAAAAGTAATTCTCTGGACCTAAATATCAAGAGTATAAAAGATGAGAAATTCTTTTGTTTACAGGACGAGGTTAGCAAATTACAGCCTCTTCTTCCTAACACCACTCTGATTTATCTATCAACCGATTGGAGCTGCAGGTTCTAAAATACAACCACCAGAATCAACTGGAGTATTTTTTTTAAAAGGTAAATACTTGAAGCCCATCCCAGACCCACAAATTCAGGTATCTGTACTTAATAAACATTCCCCAGATAATTCTGAGGGGCAGATAGGTTTGGGAATCATCAACAAACAAAGTGGTAGAGGAGATTAGGGGGTAAAAAATGCCACATAAGAAAACACTAAAATATGGCTGGGGATGTAGTTTAGTAGTACAACACTTGCTTAGCAGGCATGAAGCCCTCAGTTCAATCCCCAGCACAATTAAAAAGAAAAGAAAAAAATTGAGAGAGTTAAATAATTTCTTTAACATTTGAAAGGCTGTTTTGAAAGATGTGTTCTGTGGAATCCTCAGAGGTAAAAGGTAGGATTAATTGGGATTAATTCCAGGAAAAGATTTCAACTTAATAAAAGAGAAATTTTCCAACAAAAACAATTAAAATTATCATGTATTTAAGGAGTGTCTATGACGTACAAGATACTAAGAACTTTACCCATTTTAATCTTCAGAGAAATTCTAAAAAGAAATTTTCTTTCTAAATAATAGTGAGTGGCTTGTCACTGAAAGTGACATGTAATGACATGTGATGGGAATCTTGAACCAATTATCAAACCTCAAATGGTTATAGGGCTCAATGATGCCATAGACCTAAACATAATTCACTAAAATGTGCTCTGAACTGAGACTTGTTTCCAGTGAAGTCTAGGATCACAATAAATTCAACCAGTCCCCAATTGGTACTCTGGCAAAGAAAGGACCATCTAGTTCTTTGCAGGTTTCCTCGAAATAAAATTAAATAGGGATAGTACAATGGCATATGATTTCATATATAGTATCCCTTCACTAGCTGCAAACACTCCAGCTGAGTACCAGGGAGTGTCACAGTATAGCAAGAATACTACAATCTCATTTGTATCAAACATACCACAAGGAACTATTCTAGTCACATTCTCAGTCTTTCCCAAAACATCTTTTTGAAATTTCTTGACAGTGATTTCTTCATAAGTGTCTTCTACTCAAAAAATTTCATAAGAAACTGAAATCCTACAAGATCAATTGCTCATTTCCTACAGTCCTTTACATTCTCAAAATATCAAACAAAAAGAAACCAAAGCACAAGCAACAACTTATAAAACAGATCAAGTGGCCTTCATCAATATCAAAAACTTTTGCACTGCCAAGGATACCATCAAGAAAGTTAAAAGACAACCACCAGAATGAGAATACCTTCAAATCATAGGTCAAAAGGGATTTGCATCCAGAAATGCTTTACGATAGAAGAATAAAAAGATAAACCAAGCAGTTGAAAATCAGACCAAGGATTTGAAGAGACTTTTCTCCAAATAAAATATACAAATGGTTAGTAAGCACATGAAAAAAAAGACAGTTAATATCATTAGTCATTAGAGAAACACCAATTGAAACTATAATGAGATACCACTTCACACCCACTAAAACAGATATAACCATAGACAAATAACAACAAATGTTGGTAAGGGTGTGGAGAAATTCAAGCACTCAAAGATTGCTGGTAAGAATGTAAAATGAGCTTTACTAGTAGCATGAAAAACATGTTGCATCTTCTTATCTGACATTATCACTTTAAACATAGAAAAGTGGTTTTTATTTATTTTTTTAAATACTATTCCTTGAAGACCAGCAGACTGACATTTTTTAAAAATAACTTTATTTATTTATTTTTATGTGGTGCTGAGGATTGAACCCAGGGTTTTATACATGTGAGGCATGCGCTCTACCACTGAGCCATAACCCCAGTCCCTGAAAATATGGTTTTAAAAAAAATGTAAAATGGTGCAGCTGACTTACAAAACATTTTGGCAGTTTCTCAGAATGTTAAACATAGAGTTGCTAGATGACATAGAAATTCCACTGCTGGGTATATACCCAGTAGAAATGAAAATATATTTCCACCCAAAAAAGTGTACATGAATGTTCATAGCAGAATTATTCATAATGGCCAAAATGTGGAAACAACTCATGTCCATCAACTGATGTGTGTGTGTGTGTGTGTGTGTGTGTGTATGATATCCATCTGAAAATGGATAATTTCATTTGGATGAAATGAAAATATCAATTTTCATTTGGCAATAAAAAGGAATGAAGTACTAACCCATGTTACAATGTGTACACATGTTGAAACACTGTTAAGTGAAATAAGAAGCCACATATGGTGCAGTTCCATTTATGTAAAATGTCTAAAATGGGCAAATCTACTGATTCAGAAAGTAGATCAGCAGTTGAGGGTTAAAAAAGTGTGACTACTGGTAGGGAGGGATGAGAGTTCTTTCTTTTTTTTTTAACATTTTTTAGTTGTAGTTGGACACCATACCTTTATTTTATTTATTTTTATGTAGTGCTGAAGATTGAACCCAGTGTCCCGCATGTGCTAGGCAAGCGCTCTACCGCTAAGCCACAACCCCAGCCCCGAGAGTTCTTTCAGAGGTGATAAAAAATAACATAAAATTGTGGTGATTGTTTGTAAACAAATATGTGAATACACTAAAACCATTTTATGGTATACCCTAAATGGGCAAATGAAATGGTATATGAATTATATTTCAATAAGCTATTTAAAATAAAGACGTTAGGAAACTCTAAAGAGATTGTTAACTCTCAGCACCACCGTTGGGGGATCTCAGCATCTTCAAGTTCTCCATTGATTAGATTCACCAGGAAAGAGTCTTCCACGCTCCCTGGAGAGTAAGATTCTTTCCCACAGTGTTCTGGGAGTTCTTAAAATTTTTTTCAAAGAAAGAAGAAATCCATGAATTAGAAATTAAAAAAAAAATACAGTGTGGATAAACTAGGTCTTTCTGGCAGAATAATTGAAAACACCCTACAGAGATCAAAAGAAAAGAAACTGACATTTTTGAGCCTCTAACATGGGTTAGGCACTTTCCATCCTCTAGTGTGTTAACAATTCCATCAGGTAATACAATATTAACATTCTAATTTTCATAGATGAGAAAAGTGAGGATCAAAGAGTAACACAGCTAAGAAGTGATCAAGCTCTAGTATCTGAATTCACTGCCGAACTCTATTCACCCACTATACATGCCTTTGTTTTGGTCAGCCTCAGTTCAGATTCTTATCACCCTTCTTCTAGGAAAGAGCTCCACAGAAACAGTTCTTATTCATTAGTACAAGCCATGGCTCTTTGACTAAATATCACGAGAAGTAAAATTACAGTTATATGGCATGAAATTATTCCTTTCAGGAGGCAATGTATGTGGTGACCAGAAAGAACACTGGAAAAGGAAGTCTGAAAGACTTGCTTCCAGCTGCTGTGTGATTTTGAGTAACTAACTTAGTTTCTCTGAACCTCAGGCTCTTTATTTATCAAATTATATTATACTAAATGAGTGCTTCTTAAAATATAAAACAGAGATATTAAAGAGTTGTAAAAATTGTAAAACATTATAGAAATGTAAACCATTATTATTAGAATTTTATAGAATAAAAATTTTGACAGGAGAGTTATATACCAGTAGCTGAACCATCAGCAGAAATGATACCAAAATTAAAGGTTTCTCCCAATACTAGAATTTAATTTAATTCCATAAAAAACAAAAACACTAAGAAAAGCTATTGTCCTTCTGGCTTCAGGGTATAGATTTGCATCAACCTAATAACACATCTCCTAGAGAGAAAAAAGCACTCCCATTTTCACTTGCTAATTTAGAATACTTATGTTTATCCATTTGTTATGGACTCAATGCATCTCACTAAAATTCTTATTTGAAGCCTTAGCCTCCAAATGTAACCTTATTTGGAGATATAGGTCTTTAGAAAGTAATCATTAAGGTTAGGTGACAGGAGAGTAGAGTAGGGTTCTGGTTCTGTAGATTAGTATACTTCCCTCTCTCTCTCTCCCCACCTCTCCCCTCCCTCTATCTCTCTTTCTCTTTGCCATATGAGGATGTGGTCATCTCAGAGTAATAAAGAAAGCCCTCACAAAAAGTAATACTGCTGGACTTTGATCTAGGACTTCTAGCCTCCAGAATTATGAGAAAATAAATTTGTTGTTTAACTCACCCCGTCTACCAATATTTAGTTATGGTGGTATGAGCACAATAAGATATCATGTAATGGAATAAGACTGTCCTTTAAGTGGTAATCATAAAAATTAAATTTTGGCATATCTCCTCAATGCAATCAGTATAAAATTAAAAGCTAAGGGCCCTGGGACCCCAGGCACTTCGCTCCCGCAGCGTCTGCTCCCTTCCCGCTCAGCGCCTGTCGCTCCCTCTGCACCTGTGGCGGTGTTCCCTTTGTGTCCCCACCCTCACCCTTGCCCGCCCGCCCGCCCGCCACGATGGGCCTGTCGTGGTGTGTGTTGGGAATGCCGTGAAATAAACCCTTGCTTTTCACCAGAAAAAAAAAAATTAAAAGCTAAAACTCTTTCATGAAATAATAAAGGAGGTTATTAACCTTGTTGTGAGAATGATCAACAGTTCCATTCTTTTAAAAATAAAAAATTAACAAAAATGGCATAGTATTGGCATCAAAAGAGACATGATGATGAGTGGTACAGAAGATGCAGAGACAAACCCACATAAGTACAGTTATCTCATACTAGACAAAGGTGCTATAAACATACATTGGAGAAAAGATAGCCTCTTCAACAAATGGTGCTGGGTAAACTAGAAATCCATATGTTGCAAAATGAAATTAAACAACAATCTCTCACCCTGCACAAAATTCAGCTCAAACTGGATCAAGGACCTAGGCATTAGACCCTAGAAGGAAAAGTAGGCCTGGATCTCTACTGTTGGCTTAGGAACCAAATTTCTGAATAAGACTTCTAAAGCACAAGAAGTAAAATCAAGAATCAATAAATGGAATGGTATCAAACTAAAAAGCTTCTTCACAGCAAAGGAAACAATTAAGAACATGAAGAGAGAGCCTAGAGAATAGGAGAAAATTTTGCCACCTACACCTGAGACAGAGCATTAATCTGTAGGAAATATAAAGAACTCAAAAAACTTGAACACCAAAAAAACAAGTAATCTTATCAATAAATGGGAAAAGGAACTGAATAGACACTTCACAGAAGAAGAAATATGATCAGTCAACAAATATATGAAAAATGTTCATCATCTATACCAATTGGAGAAATGCAAATTAAAACTACACTGAGAATGGAATTATCAAGAATACAAGAAACAATAAATGTTGGCAAGGATGTGAAGGGAAAAAGTACACTCATACATTGCTGGTGGGACTGCAAATTGGTGCAAGCATTCTAGAAAGCAGTAATGGAGACTCCTCAGAAAACTTAGAATGGACCTACCATTTGATCCAGTTATCCGACTCCTCAGAATATACCCAAAAAACTTAAAATCAGCATACTTTAGTGTGCAGCCACATCAACAGCTAATTCACAATAGCTAAGCTATGGAACCAACCTAGGTGTCCTTCAACAGATGAATGGAATAAAGAAAATGTGATACACACACACACACACACACACACACACACAATGTAATATTACTCAGCCATAAAGAAGAATGACTTTTGCCAGTAAATGAATGAAAGAAACTGGAGACTATCATGCTGTAAAATAAGCCAAACCCAAAAAACCAAAGGCTAAATGTTCTCTGATATATGGATGCTAACAAACAATAAGAGGGGATGGAAGAGTGAGAATCGAAGTTCACTGGATTAGATAAATGGGAATGAAAAAAGTAGGGGGATGAGAATAGGAAAGTAGTAGAATGAATCCAATGTAACTTTCCTATGTTCATATATGAATACACGACCAGTGTAATTGTACATCATGTACAACCTCAAGAATGGGAAGTTATACTCCATGTATATATAATATGTCTAAATAAAGTCTACTGTCATATGTAACCAAAAACAACAAATAAAAAATCTTAAAAAACAAAAACAATAAAATATTTAAATATACTAAAATATCTTTTTGCTGTTAGAAGATGATAATTAAATTCTTATATATTTGTGTTTACCAATGTAATCCTAGCACCTAGAACCTGCCTGATACATAACCAGTAATCTATACACATGTTCAATGATGAGAAAAATTGAACTGATAAAGCACAATTTTGTGACTCTTTTTAGTAATACACTGAGTCAATTCAGAATATTTTCTGAATTTCAGAAAACAGAACTATTTCTGACACACTGCCATAGCCCTTAGCCTAGGGCTGTGAACACAGCAGATATATTTTATTAACAGAATCCCTTCCTTATCCATTTGCCTATTTAAATCCTGACCTTCAAAGTGAAGCCCAAATTCTGCTTCTGAAAAGTCTTCACTGTTACTCTACCCTGAGTTCTAAGAAACTCATTACTATTCACCTTGTTTTCCAGGTCTAAAATCTAACAGACACACTTGGTTACCTTCATTCTCAAACACCTTGAATCCAAATCTGTCAATGAATCCTAGCATCTCTCAGAAAAATATATTCAAATCTCACCATCTCCATCATCTAAACTCTAGTCTAAGCCATCATCAACTCTCTCCTGTACTAAGGCAGTATCCTCCTACCTAATCTCCCTGCTTCCATTCTGGTTCTGTGAAGGGAAAGGGGTTTCCCACACCACTGCAAATTTGGATGTAAAAACAATCAAGGCTACCTGGATCCTGACTTTTGCTTTCTCCCACACCATCCTCCAAATAAAGTATAGTTTTACTGATGCCATTTGGTTAAAGAAGCAGGAAATATATATATATATATATATATATAACCTTAAAGGGAAACACATAATTGTAAAGTAAACTCCTATGAAATGGTGATAAAGGCCTCTACTATAAAAACACTGAAGTAAAACAAGAATGGAGAATCCCAGTGTCAGTGGTAGTTACAGGTCTACATCAGGAAATCTGTGCAGATATGCTGCATCTACTCTTATATAATTCTAATTTAGTATCTGGAAATTTTAAATTATATTGTAGGGCTGGGGCACGGCTCAGTGAAAAAAAAAAAAATGCTTGCCTAGCATGTGCCAGGCCCTGGATTCAGTTCCCAGCACCACAAAAAAACAAACAAAAATAAATAAATGAATATCAGAAGATTCATCCATTTGATGAATATGCTCTCTTCTCACCAAATTGATACCCAAACTGAAATGTTATGCTCTTCCTCAGTCTTTTATCTATGAAGCAGCTACAGTGATATTGTTTTTAAATATGAATTAGGTCACATTATTCATAACCCCAAATCCCACCAATGGCTTTCTATCTAAAATAAAATCCAAATCTACCCACCAGCACAGAAGGCTGAGGAAGGAAGATTGAGAATTCAAAGCCAGTCTCAGCAAAAGTGAGGCTCTAAACAACTCAGTGAGACCCTGTCTCTAAATAAAATTTTTAAAAGGGCTGGGGATGTGGCTCAGTGGTCGAGTGCTCCTGAGTTCAATCCCTAGTACCAAAAACAAATTTAAATCTAAAGTCCTTATTAGATCCTTAATCATTTTGTTGGGCCCATGCTTATCTCTCCAACTTTATCTGCCACCAGTTCCTTAATGATTTTTCTCCAGCACCCACTGATCACACTCAATACACTTATGATCTTACATATACTGCTCCCTCTGCTTGGAATGTTCTTCTGAGACCTTCGTGTGGTTCACTCTGTGGTTCATGTGGTTCATTCAGGTCTCTTCTCAAATTTTACCTCAAAGAGCTATCTACAGGACCACCCTACCACACTACTTTATTTTATTTATGCATATATTCTTATCAATTATTTGTTACCCTTCCCTCTGAGAACCCCACCAGAATGTAAATTCCTCTGCATTCTTTATTTTTTCTCCAATAACTAGTCCATATTAGATAATCAATAAATGTTTTATATTATCATTTGTAAAAATTATCAGCCAATGAACCATGGAAATCCTTGCATTATCTTTTCCCCTATTTCTTATGATACACTCAAAGATTTTTTTCTTTTATGTAACTTTCCCCACTTGAGGGACAACAACCAGGTCTTAGACTTCTTTATATATTCAACAACCCAAGAATAAAAACTTATATTAGTTCTGGCTCCCCAAGAACATTAAAGTTCTTTATATATAGTAATTGTTTTTAGAATAACATCCATGGTAAAAAGTGGCTATGGTATTTCTGAAAAGATAACACACAACAGAGGTGGCATACTTACTTCTAGCATCTGTTTTATCTGATTCACTCAGACTTAAATCATCCTTGGCATCAGTGCTTCCCTCAACACCATGCCTTACAAAAAACTTTAGGTCATTTTCATCAATATCATACTCATCATCTATATCATATTTCTGCAGCCCCTCTAGTAGCTTCACTGCTGCCAAGTGGGCAAATCTGTAGAAAAGAATTAATAATTAACCAGTTGCACAATCTTCAAATTTAAATTGCAGTTTGCTCTTAACTTAGGCATTTCTACTCTGAATGTTCTTCCATCAACCCACCCTCACTAGTCAAGAAGAATGTTTGCATTTGAAGGTCAGATTTAATATACATTCAATTATGTAGGAAACTAAAAAGAGTTACTGGACACAAAAGACAAGTACTCATATTTAAAACAGATTCCATAAGTTTTCCTGGCAAAATCTCACTGGGAAAGGAGATTCACTATCAAAAGAATAATTTGGTAGGCCCCCAAATAGAACTACTTAACTCAGAGAGCACAAAACTATCCTAACTTCACTCCCTGTCTTTGCTGCCTTTTATTGACCCAATTTAGATTGTAAAATTAGTTCTGGTTCCAGATTTAGTTCTACCCTCATTAATCTATCCTTCCTCGACCCAAAGCATTTGCATGGCTTAAAATTTAATAGAAAAATAATGATCTTCCCATTGACATTTTCTATTCTCTTTACTCTTTCTCATGTCTCTACAAAGCTTTCTGCAATATACTCTTGGTTTGGGAGCTTCTGTTGTTGTGATTAGATGTAATCTGCATATTTTTTCCACAATTTTGCTAATTGGAATATTTAGTACTTTATCTTAAGACATGAAGAATTACTAAACACAAAATCTTTCCCCATATTTACATAACCATACACACGTACAAACATACATACATCATCATCTTTTATCAGGTATTACAAACCATTTAAACACATAATAATAAGGGTTAGGGGTGTAGCTCAGTGGTAGAACACTTGCCAAAGACACATGCATGAATCCATGAGTACTTGAGTACAATCCCTAGCACCACCAAAAAAAAAAAAAAAAATTTTTTTAAATAACAGTAATAAAACTCACATAGAAAATTGTAAGGTTATCAGAATTCACTATATCTACTACTAGGCTACTAATTTAACAACTATCATTTACTGAATGTTTATGTTAAATTTAAATTTATCTTTGTAATAACACTATTTTTCACACCTAGAATTTTAGTGTATAAATGAAAAATGTGAACCCAAAACTACAGATAACTCCAGATACAGCCATGGTACTCAATCACCTATGTGATATTCATATAAAAACTGATATATAGACCTAGATTAAATAGACAAAACAGAGTTCAGAAATAAGCCCACACATACATGAACAACTCATTGTGACTAAGGCAAAAGGCAGTGGAAAAAGGACACTGCACTTTTCAACAAACAGTGTCAAAACAAATGAATATGAGTATACGAAAAATAACTTAGGATGTACTCATATCATATTTTTTAAAACCAACTTAAAATGAATCATAGACCTCAAAGTCCAAAATTATACAACTTCTAGAAGAAAATCTTTGACTTCATACTAATCAAAGATTTCTTTAACACCAAAAACATAATCCACTAAAGGACAAATAAGTTAAAAAAAAAAAAACCTGCTCTTCAAAGATATTGCTGAGGTAATGAAAACACAAGTTACAAGTAGGGAAAAAAATCTGCAAAGCATATCATCTGAGAAAGAACTAACATCTAGATACATATGGAACCCTTAAAACTCAACAATAAGAAAATAATGCAATTTTTAAAAGTATCATTTTATACAACTAATACCAATAAAATACCAATAAAAAATAATACCAATAAAATACCAATAAAAATTAATACCAATAAAATACCAATAAAAAAAATGTGGGAGAAAAAAGTGGACAAAAGATTTGAAGAATCACTTTACCAAAATAAACAGATGGCAAATACATAATAAAAGGATTCTCAAAACCATTTTTCTTTAGAAAAATCAAATTAAAATGACAATGAGATACCACTATCATACCTATTTGAATTATGAAAATCAAAAATCTGACAATATCAAATGTTGGTGAGAATGTGAAATAACAGAAACTCTCATTCATTGCTGGTGGCAATGTAAATAGGTACTGTCATTTTAAAGCCATGTAGGCAATTTTTTAAATAAAGTTAAACACACATTTAGCATGTCGCCCAGCAAGCCTACTTCTAGGTGTTTACCTAAGGGATTAAAAAGTTATATGGACACAAAAAAACAAGTATATTAATATTCATAGCAACTTTCTTCATAATCACCAACAAATGGATTACAGTCGAGATGTCCTTCAATGGGTGAAAAAACAATTGAACTACAGAATACTATGGAATTCTACATACAAGGAACACTCAACAGTAAGAAGAAAACAAACTATGAATCTACATAGCTGGGTTTCAAAATACTTATGCTGAGTGAAAGAAAACAGATATGAGTACAAGTTAAGTACCACATAACAACACTGATCATCAACAGACTGCCTATACTTTGGTGGTCTCATAGTATTAAACAGAGCAGAAACTTTTCTACCATCTAATATTTTTCTGGGTACTCTTTTTCTAGGACCTTTTCTATGTTTATGTTGTGTTACAATTGCCTATGCTGGGCTGGGGATGTGGCTCAAGCGGTAGCGCGCTCGCCTGGCATGCGTGCGGCCCGGGTTCAATCCTCAGCACCACATACCAACAAAGATGTTGTGTCCGCCGAGAACTAAAAAATAAAAAAAAAAAAAAAAAAAAAAAAAAAAAAAACAATTGCCTATGCTGTTCAATATAGTAACATGCTGCACAGGTTTTGTAGCCTTAATGTATAGTATAGTAAGCTATACCATCTTGGTTTATGTGATTTATCTCAGATTGTCTCCCCACCATTAAGCAACACTTGACTGTATACATATGATTCCATTTATATAAAATTTTATAAATGCAATTTTATCTATGGCGAAAGAAAGCAGATCAGTGTTTGCTTTAGGAAAGATACTTTGGCATTGGGAAAGAGATTATGAAGAGGCAAAAGAAGACTTTCAGAGGTAATAAGCATGTTTACTATCTCAATTATAGTGATGGTTTCATGGTGTCTACATATATAAAAATTCATTTTATACTCTACAATTATGTACATTTTATTATATGTCAGTTATGTCTTGATAAGCCTATTTTTAAAAAATAAAAATACACCTGGCACTGGGGTTGTGGCTCAGTGGTAGAGTGGTTGCCTTGCAAATGTAAGGCACTGGGTTCTATCCTTAGCACCACATAAAAATAAATAAATAAAATAAAGGTACTAAAACTATTTTTAAAAATAAAAATAAAAAAATACACCTGAGTTGGCAATGATCCCAGGTACATGATTCAATAAAACCATATTCCAAGGCATCAAAGAAACACCAGAGATAAAATTTTTTTAAATGAGCACACAAAAAAAAATCTGCAATTATTTAGAGAATGACTGCACCCAAGCATCAGGTCAAGCATCACCTTCCACTGTTAGCCCATATTCACACTTTACATTCATGGAGTTCTAAACCACAAACATACATCATGTTATCTTATAACTCCTCCTTCCTTGACCTCTATTTAAATTCTGTCCCCCTACAGTTTCCTTCATAACTCTTACCATCATATGTAATGATGTAAATGTCTCTCACACACATACACACACACACAACACACCTCCACACACTTCACAAACAGGAAGGCTTGGGCCTTCCTTGTTTTTTCTCACAATATTAGGGATTGAACCTAAGTTATATCCCAGTCCTTTTTATTTATTTATTTTTTATTTTTGAGACAGGGTCTTGCTAAGTTTCCCAGGTTGCCTCAAACTTGCAATCCTCCTGCTTCATCCTTTTGGGGGATTTCATATGTTCTTACAGCACCTTTACACAGTATATAATATGGTACAAGGATGATAATTAATAAGAACTTTTGTTTGTATATTTTCTCCCCACATTACTAATAGCTCCATGATGTCAGGGATTGTTTTCTCATCTTTATAATCTGACTAACCATCTGGGTCATGGTAATAGACTAGTAGTAGAATGAAAGAATAATCAAATGAACAAATGAATGTGTTTAAATATTCCTAGAAGATTTGACCTGAATGAGCTGGTAGTGTTTAATAATAGGTGTTATATTTAATTCAATTATAAATCCTAAAATACATTTAAAACCCCTTGAATTTCCTTTTGTATTATTAATGTTAATTATTTCTTTTTATCACACTAGTACTGCAATATATCTTAAAAGGTTACTACAGACACTTGGGCAGGACAATTCATTGTACACTACTATTCTGAACACTGCAGAATATTTAGCATTCCTAGATCTGAACCCATTAAAGATTAGTGATGGTCATTCTAACAGTCACTGTGACAATCCTCCCCTTGATTTCTAAATACCCTCCTCCCAGGAAAGGAGACAAATGTTACTTTCCAGGTGAGAATCACAGTCTTAAAGAAAGGAACTAATACAATAGCAAATGTCAATTCAGCTTGAAAATTGTGATTTCATCTGCATTTGAATGAATCTTTGAATCTGATTTAATTCCATTAAATCCTCAGATGTTTCTAAATAAGAAGGTATAATTAAAACTTTAAAAATAAAAGAAAAGAACAAAGGAGATAGGGATCTATACCTCTTAGCCACATCACTGGGTGTCTCCCCTGCTTTGTTAGTAATATTACTGTCTGCTCCCACTTTAATTAACCACTGCAAACATTCTATGTGGCCTTGTCCAGCAGCTGTTTTAAAAATAAAATAAAATAAAAGGAAACAAACAAGAAATACAGAAAAAAGAGTTGTTATTAATAACAATTTCAAAAATTAGGGACAATCCTATTATATTTTTTGTTGTTGTTGTTTCATTGGTACTAGGAATTGGACCCAGGGGTGCTTAACCACTGAGCCATATCCCTGGCCTTTTTTAAAAATATTTTAATTAGCGATAGGATCTCACTAAATTGTTTAGGGCCTTACTAAGTTGCTGTGGCCGACTTTGAACTTGTGATCCTCCTGTCTCAGCCTCCCAACACTCTGGGATTACAGGCGTGTGCCACAGCACCCAGCTAGAGTACTTTCTTAAGTACTGATCCTTGTAGTAACTAAGAAAAGAAGATTAAGCAAATGTTATTTGCTGTGTTTCCTTTATTTATTTTTTAGACACACATGTAATCAAATATATACTGTACTTAGTCTCTATACAGAGAATTTTACTTACAGACATAAAACATGAAGCTCAGATAGTTCTGTTGTTGTTGTTGTTGTTGTTTTTTTTGTGTGTGTGTGTGTAGGGGTGGTACAGATTTATGGGGCACTCCACAACTGAGCTACATCCCCATCCCTATTTTGTATTTTATTTAGAGACAGGATCTCACTGAGTTGCTTAGCACTTTGCTTTTGCTGAGGCTGGCTCTGAACTTGAGATCCTCCTGCCTCAGCCTTCTGAGACTGGGATTACAGGCTTGCACCATCACGCCTGGCTCAAAAATGTTATTTATTTAACATCACACAGCAAAGAATTAATGAATTTGAAGCTAGAATCCAGTTTTTTATAATCCTTACCCAAGTGCTTGTCACCTACGATAGAACTCTTACCCAATCTTGTATCACACCAGAATATGAGTACATGCCAACCACTGAGACCTATATAGATTTTTTTAGAAATCTTACTCCATTATTTATATGTTATTCCTCCAACTCTCACAACTCACAATTAGTAACCTCTTAAACTATACTTAATATATGAACTGTTATCACCTTTGTCTAAATCTTGTCTTCAAAATATGTACTGTCTATATTAATTTTCATCTCCACAACTCTGCTCTTCCCACTCCAAAGCCCATCACCAAACTGTGTGTTCATTTAATTTCTACCCATTATGCTTGGTCCATTTAAAGGCTCAGGAAAGCTTTGGAAAATAAACTTGCTAAACCTGAATTTAAATCTACTAAACAATGAGACTTGAGAATAGGACTGTAGTCTTCATCCGCAGAACACACCAAGTAGCTAGCACATATGCTCAATAAATGTCTATGGAGTTCATGAGTGAATTAATGCATGAAAAAAATGAATGCAATTCTCAGCTTTGCTCTTACTAACAACATAACCTGAGTCAAGGTACCTGACCTTTCTTAACCTCAGTTTCCTCATCCTTTACAGAGACGATGTTTTATTTATAAAGAAAGCATACTGCTATTTCATAAAATTACAATAAAGATTAAATATAATAAGAGCTTTGCATTCTGTTAGGTGTCATATAAGTATCAGGTATCATTACCTGATATTATGGATACTTCTTCAATAATTTGATCCTTACCAAATTTTTCTGTCCCTCAACTCCTATTCCCAAATTCCTATCATGTGTATTTTAATAGCCAATTTTTTGCCACTAATTACACCCCGCCTTATTTAAAAATCTCAATTTTTTTATGGGATAAGTCTGTAGCTCCTTAACAGAAAGGCCTGGCATTCTGTCTTCAGAAAACAGACACATAGTTGGTGCTGAATATATAACTATTACCTTATAAAATTATTGGTACACATGGTACTTAGATTCTATACTTGGGGTGCATTATAGATCAAACAAAGTTTAACAAGCTAAAAACCTAACCAATGGGAACATAATATATGATTTGGGGATGTCCAAAAGTTATTTATGAAATAAAGTTCAATTTAAACACATGATTATATTAGCAAGTCTACTATCTTTTTTTCCTAAGAGCTTCACAAACATCACCTTCCATCAGATCATGAAGAAACTTTTAACACAATACCAGAAATAAAACAGAATGGAAGTTTCAAGCATAATGGGTTCCAAGATTTGATTTTTGGCTAAAACCAAAAGGGGAGATTAAGAAACATAATTTCTAGAATCTCAACACCAAGTTGACAATTTGACAAAGTCTGATTAAAAAACAAAAGAACTCTAATCAACATTATAGAATTTCACATGGAAGAAAGGACAATAAAGTGGCAGAGTACTTTTGAAATATGTTCAAATCTAACAATGTCCATTGATATTTCTATGGAAGTAAAAAAATTTTTACAGATCTAAAAAACAAAATGCTGCTATAAAATTTTTCAAGAAATATAGTTCCATTATAGCACCACTTGACAGGCTCATTTTAAATACGTTAAGAAATTTGTCTAGCCATGCATTTCACATCTTCACTAACATTATAATGTCACAATAGAAATTTCATTGGAATGAACCTTACATGTGACAATGTGTAGGTGTCTGGCATCATAAAAGGTTCAAAACACTTGAATTGAAAATCAGTCATTCTGATTTTCATAGCTTTTTTATATGAAAGCCATATAACGTAGACTTATACTGCTAAGACATAAAGAAGAATTTTCATATTTTTCATATGTTTCTAATGGATAATTACTTCAAATAGCATAACTCAGCTGCAATTGTTATCAGAACTAAAAATGAGTGGGAATATAATAGTTCACCTTTATGCATAGGAGTGGATCCAGTATCATCACGTTCATTAAAATTGATTGCTCCTTCTTCTACTAATTTCTTAAGCATTTCCAAATCACCCTTAAAGGCAGCCACATGACCTGGAAATGCTAATGCTGTCGAGAAAAAAATTCAACATTTAAGTAAACACATGAATTATTCTTTTCCCTTCCTTAAGCTGTCATATATTTCAGGTTCCAATATTATCTCAAATGTGAGGTTTTTATATTAGAATGAGTTCAGTTGATGTGTGGCGAGTAATAAAAAGAAAATTATAAAATAAGATTATTACCAGTTGTGCTACTCTTCCTCTCCTCCAGACTTCAAACTTGCCAAAAGTATTGAATCAGATATATTACTAGTCATATTCCCTTTCTCCCTCATCCCACCACAAAACACAAAAGGATGGTCATTTCAACTCTTTGCATGAAGACACAGGTCTCAAGGCCTACATGTGCATAGACCATTCCCTCTTCTGCTTGCATTAAAGTGATGAATCTGAAATATCCTGAAAATGGATAAGAAGTATGTGTGTTCCTATGAATATATGTATGTATAAATATATATATACACTCATACATATAAACACATGTATGTAAAAGTACCTAACCTGGTGCCTTGAACATAGATACTTGATAAAATGTCTTGAATTATAAAACTATATATAGTGAACCCTTGCTAAATGCCAGGCACAGTAGTAAGCACTTACAAGAATTAATAATAGACAAACACACACATTTATGGCAACTGGTTTTTGATAAAGGGGCTAAGACATTTCAATAAGTAAAAGGGAGTAAAGGAAAAGTAAATAGGTAAAGTCTTTCCAAAAAATAATGCTGGAACAACTGATTATGCATAGTTTAAAAAAACAAATTGACACATTTCATTCTATATACAAAATTAAATTGGGGTCTAAATGAAAAAGTTAAAACAATAAAGACTTCAGAAAAAAATTAGGAAAATAGCAAATTGATCTTGGGACAGGCAAACATGTCAAAATAGGACCACAAAACACTATCCCAAAAAATCAATAAATCGTACTTAGTCAAAACTTAATACATTTCTCTTTGAAAAACACCATTTAGAAAACAAAAAGGCAAGATTTGAATGGGAAAATATTTGTAATTCATATACCTGACAAAGAAATTGCATCTAGAATATGCAAAGAACCCTGAACACTCAATAGTAAGCAAAAAAACAACTCAGTTTGTGGTGGGGGTGGGAGGGTTAACCAGGCATTGAACTCTGGGGAACTCAACCACTAGGCCACATCCCCAGCCCTATTTTGTATTTTAGAGATAGGGTCTGAGTTGCTTAGTGTCTCGCTTCTGCAGAGGCTGGCTTTGAACTTGAGATCCTCCTGCCTCAGCCTCCCAAGCTGCTGGGATTACAGCCATATCCCAACATACCCAGCCCAATTTTTTAAAATGGGCAAAAAAAAACTAAACAGATACTTCATAAAAGAAGATATACGATTAATCAACAAGCATAGGAAATATGTTCGTCATCCTTAGCTAAAAAGAAATGTACTTTAAAACAATAATGCTACATATCCAATAGAATGACTAAAGTAGAACAGACTGCCCAAGTGCTGACAGAATGTGGAGAATATGAAATTTTCATATATTTTTGCTCAGAGATAAAAAATAGATATGACTACTTGGAAAATATTTTATGGCTTCTTAAACAATAAACATACACCTACCATACATTCTACTCCTGGGTATTTACCAAAAGGAATGCAAATATGTGTCTACAATTCATGGCAATTATTAATTATACGCCAAAACTGGAAACCATACAAAAGCTCATCAATAGGTAAATGGATAAACACAATGTAATACAATGGTAACCAAAAGGAATGACTTATTGGTACAACAAGGATGAATCTCAAAATGACTTCACTGATACATAAAACTCTAGAAAATGTAACGTAATCCATAACGATAAAAAAAGTAGACTAATGGTTCTATGGGGTCAGGATACAAAGAGGGATGAACTTGAAGAGGATATGTAAAAAACCTTTGGGGTGATGGAAATGTTTGTACCTTTATGGTTGTGGTGAATTCATGAGTATATATTTATGTCAAAATTCATCAAAATGCATGCTTTAATGCAATTTAAGTAAATTATTCTCTAATAGAATTGATTTTTTTAAAGGACACCATAATCAAAGTGAAAAAAACAAGCCACATGAGAGAAAATATCTGTAGCAGATAAAAATCAATACATGATTGGTTTCAAGATTATACAGAACTCAAATTATTTAGATAATAAAAAAGAATGAAATTTTTAAGAAAGGCGAAAAATATAGGTAGGCAATTAAGAAACCTTAATATATATTTTAATATGCATTATATAACTAAAATATAGTATCATAGAATGAAGTGATAAACCCAAAATAATAGTTCACTCTTGAGGAGAAAAAAAAGGTAATGGTATTATGGAGAGAGAGCCAAGTAACTTCAACTTCCTAATATTTTCTTCTTAAATTTACTGATACAAATAGCACTCTTTATATTAATCTCTATACACTTTGTCAATAACTTTATGAAAAGATGTTCAGCCTCATTAGTAATCAAGAAAATGCAAATCAAAACACAAATTAAACCTTTTCATACCCAACTGCTTGGTAAAAGTTGAAAGTCTAATAATAGATATATTGTGTTTCTCTACATCCTCGTCCCAAACTGCTGGTAATAGGGTAGATTTTAACCATTTTCATGAAGAAAGTAGCAATACTTTTTATATTGAAAATGGGCATATCCCACCAAGCAAACCTAAAGTAAAGTTTCCCAACTATTTACTAAGACTCTTCATAAAGGTAACAATTTACAAGGTACTTGGCTTTCCAACTTTTTACCATGGCACCCTAGCTCCATAAAAGCAGAACTCTAACTCTGAGTTTTCTGAAAAGATAAGAAAGACCTTAAGAAGATTCATCCAATGATCCCAGCATGCCATGCAAAGATTATCACTTCCTATGTAGGCTATGTGTGAAAAATGTAGGGAAACACATCTCTAAGGAAACTTATAAACAAAACTAAGGAGACATATACAAAAATATAATAGTAAAAACTTTGTAAGCAACCTACATGGCAAATGGAGACTGAACATATCCATTAATATAATAATTTCAAAAGCACAAGATTTTATGAAAAAATAGTCATGGAAGGCTATGTACTTTTTATGCCATTTTTTAAAGGTTTTAAAAGAAATTTCAAAGACTGCTAGTTGTCCACCAAAATACTCTTCCTTCAGTAGTATTAGAGTTGCTGCTGAGATGAGACTTCCCAGCTAGGTAATGAAATATCCAGGCTTCCTTAAAAGCTATTTATGTAAATACAGACCACATGCTGTCTATAAAAGAAAAAAAAAGGTATTTGTGGCCATGTGACTAATTTTCCAACTCAGTGTTAGCAATCTCCAACTTGGAAATCAGGCTTATATCATGTTCTCTTCCCCTCCCCTAACATCTCTCCCCTGCTTGATTAGCAAAAACTAGAGGGAGTTTATAGCATAGTAGGCTCTGAATAAACAGATATAACAGATTCACTCTTTAACCCAGGCTGTCAAATACAAGAAATAAACTTATATATCATTTAAGTAACTGTATTTTAGGATTTCTTTACTACAACAGTTTAGCCTCTTATTATAACAAATATACAAAATAATACTATATATTTTAATGATATAGTACACACACATAGATACATTCATAATTAAAATATAAAATCAGAGAATGGAATAATAAATCAACATAATATTTTACCCTGGAGGAAGAAGAAAAAATAATAGTATTACAGAGAAAAGTTCAAGAGATTTCAAACTCTGTAATATTTTATTCTTAAATTCAGTAATAACAGTGTTCCTTATGTTATCTCAACATACTTTTGTCTAAACTATTTCATAATAAATATTCTGGATTAATGTTTGAAAAATGATATATTACAAATTTTAATGAAACATGTGCCTTATAACTTCTTTTCTTTTCCCATTTGATTCTATTTATTATTACCATTATATTATAATAACATTTTCAGGTTAATTACTTACCTTCTTGATCTCCTAAATCATTTCCTTCATATTTAGCGCCCTGGATAAACTGTAAAATATTGTGTTTAAAAAACCTCTGGGCCAGGTCCAATACATTTTCTCCATTATCATTGAAGGCTTTTAAAGCTTGTGTTCCACTATTCATTCTGCTGAGTAGGAATTTAAAACAATGAAGGTGGCCTTCCATGGCTGCTAAGTGAACTATAATATAAGTAAGAGGAAAAAGAACAATATAATTGTAAAATTGAAATTGAAGTAATTTGAAAAAAAGAAATAATATACAAGCTCTAATCCTCAAAGGGAAATGACCATCTCTGCCTCATATGACAGGGACTTTCCCAGAGAAAGGAGAACAGACCTTCTTTCCAGTCTTTATCTCTTTATGCAATAATCAGCCTTCTCCTCATGAAAAAGCAGTAGACCACCTGGTTGAACAGTTACACATATAGACAAGACTTTGTATTACATGCTGTGATGTACCCAGAATTTAGAAGAGGGATTTGCATGGGTGCTCAATAAATATGTCAAATGAATTTTTTTTTAGACATGATTTCACTTTGTTACCCAGGCTGGTCTTAATCTCCTGGGCTTAACTGATTCTCCCGCCTTGGCCTCATGAATAGCTGGGACTACAGGTGTGTACAATCATCCCAGCTCCAAGTTAATAATTTTTTTGAGAGGGTGGAACACAAGTAGTCTAGTCCCAAGGATGCAGTTTTAATCTCTACATTATACAATTAAAAATATATACTACTGGTTATAAAATAATTACAGATATTTAAAGAAACAAAAGTTAGGTTTTTTAAACTGAGACAGCAAAAGACTAATCAAAATAATCAGGCATATTTTGAATAAAACTAACCCCTACCTGCATTACACACAGAAAAGTCAGTTCTAGGTGAACTAGGGATCTAAATATGAAAAGTAAAATAATAAAATTTCTAGAAGATAATATAAACAAATATTTTCATGACCACAGAAGATTTTTTAACAGGATACAGAAAGCACTGGCCATAAAGGAAGAGATTACTAACCTAGTTGACATTAAAATTTGGTTTGTGTTCTTCCCTCCTCCCACCCCAGTACTAGGGATTGAACCCAAAGACTGCACTCTACCACTGAGCTATATCCCCAGCCCTTTTTATTTTTTGAGACAGCGTCTCACTAAGTTGCCCAGGCTGGCCTCAAATTTATGATCCTCCTGCCTCAGCCTCCTGACTCACAGGGATTACAGGCACTTACCACCACACTTGGCCTAAAATTTTAAACTTCTACTCATCAAAAGATACCTTAAAAGGGCTGGGGATATAGCTCAGTTTGTAGAGTGCTTGCCTTACATGCACAAGGCCCTGGGTTCAATCCCCAGCACCACAAAAAAAGAAAAAAAAAAGATACCTTAAAGAATAAAAAAGTGATTCAGTCCTTCAATCCACAATAATACAAAAAGAAAAAATGAAAAGCAAACCATACAGCAGAAAAGAGTTACATGAAAAGATACTTGCAATGTATGTAGCTGACAAATGGCTTATATCTGAACGGTATAAAGCAATTCTACATTTCAATAAGAAAAAGAAGATGCAACAAAAAGTAAGCAAAAGAGTAGAACTAGTATTTCACAAAATAACAAAATAGCCGTCAAAAAATGATGTTGCATATTTTTTAAAATTTTTTTTGTTGTAGATGGACACCATATCTTTATTTTATTTGTTTGTTTGTTTGTTTGTTTGTTTTGTTTTGGGTTGTTTTGTTTTTGTTTTTGTTTTTAATGTGGTGCCAGGGATCAAACCCAGTGCTAGGCAAGCGCTCTACCATTGAGCCACAATCCCAGCCCATATTGAATATTTTTAGTCATCAGGAAAACATAAACTAAAGCCACACTGAAAGATTACTATACACCCATCAGAATGACTAAAACTAGGAAAACTAATAATATTAAGTATTAATGAGAGAATGGAACAACTGAAACTATTAAACACGTCTAGTGTGGTATGTAAATTGGCACAATTAGTTTGGGAAAGCTAAAGAAGCCAGATATAAAAGAATACCTGTATACTATTTGATAATATAGAGTTCAAAAAGTAAAAAGTAAAGAAAAAAGGGGGAGGAAGAAGGGAAATATTACTGGATGGTGGTAATATTCTGTTCTTGACCTGAATGACAGTTATAGAGAAGTGTTCATTTTGGAAAATACAATGAGTTGTGCATTTGAATTGGAAACTTTTATAGATGAGTGTTAGTTTAAATTTTTGTTTTTTAAAAAAGTGAGTGAAATAAAAAGTGAGTTTTTTAAATAATTTTTTAATTTGTTTTAATTATTTATACATGACAGAAGATCACATTTATGCACTTTGATATATCATACATAGGTGGGATATAATTTCTCATTTTTCTGTGTACATGTTGCAGAATCATATAGGCCATGCAGTCACATATATACATACAGTAATAATGTCTGTTTCATTCTACCATCTTTCCTATCCCCACATCCCCTCCCCTCCATTCCCTTCCCATCACTTCCCTCTACCTAATCTAAGGTAATGCTATTCTTCCCTAGTGTGCCCTACTCCTCCCCGGCACTCTACCCCCATCCAACCTTATAGTGAATTAGCATCCACATATTAGAGAAAACATTCGGCCTTTGGTTTTGTAAGAGAGCAAATAGGAGATTCAAGATGGCAGGCTAGAAGAAGGCTGGCATTCCTAGACATTGCTTGGCTCAAGATTCAAGCAGCAGGAGTACTGCTTTCTCTGTGAGGTGAGTGAAAGAGTGATTTCAATAAATCTCAAAATTGGATGGTCAGATTGTCTTACAGATTCAGAAATTTGGGTACATTAAACAAAGAAGAAAGATTATATTGGAAGGGCTGGAGCGGTAGAAGAACAGGAGCACAACAGGCCAAGAATATTTCACCCAGGGGAATTCAAGTCAGTTTTCTTTGCTTTAGCAAAGGGGATCACTTCCCCTTTTGAGTCTGGTAGCTCATGTGACCAGCTAAAGCAGGCTGGAAAACTGAACAGGTGGGGGTTGCATACACTCAGGGACTAAGCCTGGGAAGCCTGGAAAGGCTGTGTTCAAGGGCAGCAGAAGAGGTGAATGATTGGCTCCCTCACCTCATAAGTAGAATCCAAATGAGGCTCTGGAGAGCCATATTCCCAGCAGAGATCAGCAACTTCCAGGGCCAAAGCAGACACAAGCCAACAAAGCCCCTGAGGTCTGATTAGACCTAAGCCCCACCTGCTGGAACTCCACATACAGAATTCTGCAGCAGCCCCACCCCGGAAGAACATCAATTTGGTCTGTGCAGACAAAACTCCAGCTGAGAGTACTTCCCATTCCATCCTACCTCGTACTGAGGAGAAGAGAAGCTGAGAATTATTTGAACCAGCTTCAACCATAGGCCACTCCAACTGGCAGCTTAGTAACACAAAAAGAAGAAGGGTTTAATAACTCTCAGCCCTTGTTCTTGCTCTCAGTACATAATTCAAGAAGAAATGAAAAGACAGTCAGGCATAGATAGTAACCATCTATTCTTATTGACTATTTTGACCACCTCAGTGGAAACAATTCCTTTTTATTAAGAATTTTTTTTTCTTTTTGTTTTTGTGCATGCTTTTGCTGTGCTGATTAGTTCATGACATACATACATATTTATATCTTTTTTCAGATTTTTAGCATTTTTTAAATGTTTTTTTTTCTTTGCCTTGTTATTTTTGTTTTGTTTTGTTTTGGTACTGGGAATTGATTGTAGGATCACTTAACCACCAAGCCACATATTTTAAATTTTTTAAAATTTGTTATTTTGAGACAGGATCTCACCAAGTCCTTAGGGTTTTGCTAAGTTGCTGAAGCTGGCCTCGAATTTGCAATCCTCCTGCCTCAGTTTTCCAAGCCACTAGATTACAAATATGCACCACTACACCTGGCCTGGCCTTGTTTTTTAAGGGTTAGGGGTTTTGATTAGTAATATTTTGGATTTGTTTTGTATTGTTTTTCATTCGTCTGTTTCTCTTTCTCTTTTTTTTTCTATTAACAGCCAAGCTTCTTGTTCTTTCACTCTCCCTTTCCTATGTTACTTCTAGTATTTTTCTCCTCCTTCCTTATAACCATCACAAGCTACATCTTTTCTGCATCTCACTTTTTGAAATTGTAAACTCCTTTCTACCTTCCTATCACATTTTCTTTTCTCTTAACTGTATTCTTACCATCTTTTAGCACTAATTGGCTTATATAACTCCTGTCCCCACCATTAATGATGTTGCAATGATTACTGCTGTGGATGCCATAGTTGACACTTGTTGTTTGATTTAACACCAAATATAATATATGGTTACTTATTGTTTTTGCTGATGGCAATTACTGACCTACCATTTCTGGTTTTTGTGGCAATTAACATTGTAGATGTCATAAAAGGAATGAAGTATTAGTTTAATGCTCTATATTGTTTGCATAGGTTGTTGCAATTCTTTGTTCCTCCTATGAGATGCTGGGAACCTACAGGGACACTACAATTCACAGGGTAAAACTTTGCTGCTGAACTAAACTCAACCAAAAGACAGATGCACCTCGCTCCATATACAAATTAGTGACAATCTTTAGCTACACTTCAATACAAAGAATGGAAGAGATAAAAACTCAAACTAATGATCAGGCCTGAAGTAAAAATGACTAGAGGTAGACACCAACATCTCACCTATGGACATCTATTACTCTAGCCAAAACAGAGAGAAATAACATGAAGGCTGTGGATACCTACAAGGGAGACTCAATCCAGAACACTCCAGGATACTTTAGCAAGTGAAGATTGTGCTCTATCAAGGCCCACACAGAAGAGTGGAAGAGAAACACATTCCAACAGATGCATAAAACCCAATACGTGAAATACAAAAAATATGAAAAAGCAAGCTAACACAATACTTCCTAACAGTCATAGTTCACCAGCAAATGACCCCCAAAATATTGAAGTGAATGAAATATCAGCTAAGTAATTCAAAGGAATTATTATAAAAATGATCAATGAATTCTAAAGGACTACATAAAAACAACTGAATGAATTATAGAAGTTTACAGATTACGAATGATAAATTCAATAAGGAGATAGAAATATTTTTTAAAAAGAACCAAACACAAATTTTGGAAATGAAAGATACAATAAATCAAATAAAATTTTTACTTGAAAGCTTCTCTAATAGAGTAGACTATA